TGCATAGCCATTTCAGCCATATGGTAATCGAATTACTCAATATTCATGGATTTTAGTTATGCATGCATGGACATGGTCATGTGCATAGTGGGTGTTCTGTTGTGCATAGTTTGCGTAGCCATTTTAACCAATATGGTAAGCAAATTAGTCAACATTCATGGATTTTTGGTTGTGCATGCATGGATATGGTCTTATACATAGTGGGTCTTCTGCTGTGCATGGTCCCCTGCATAGCCTGTCATTTTTTCCAGGCTAGTGAATTTCTAACCAATATGGTAAGCAAATTTTTGGTAGTGCAACATTCATGGATTTTTGGTTGTGCATGCATGGATATGGTCTTATACATAGTGGGTCTTCTGCTGTGCATGGTCTGCATAGCCTGTCATTTTCTCCAGGCTAGTGATTTCTAGAAAATTATGGATTTTTGGTTGTGGCATGGCACATGGTCTTGTGCATAGTGGGTCGTCTCTGGCCGTGCATGGTCTGCATAACTTGCCATTTTCTCCAGGCTAGTGATTTCTAGAAAATCATGATTTTTAGTTGTGTATCCATGGATATGGTCTTGTGCATAGTGGGGTATTCTGCCGTGCATGGTCTGCATACTTGTCTTTCTCTGGGCTAGTGAATTTTTACAAATCATGGATTTTTAATTGTGCATCCATGGAACATGGTCTTGTGCATAGTGGGTCTTCTGCCGGGCATGGTTATATATAACCTGTCTTCTTTAGGCTAGGAATTTTCTAAAAAATCATGGAATTTTAGTTGTGCATCCATGGACATGGTCTTGTGCATAGTGGGTGTTCTGCCATACATGGTCTGCATAACCTGTCATTTTCTCCAGGCTAGTGAATTTTTGAAAAGTCATGAATTTTTAGTTGTGTTCTATGGACATGGTCTTGTGCATAGTGGGTCTTCTGTCGTGCATGGTCTGCATAAACCTGTCATTTTCTCCAGGCTAGTGAATTTTTAGAAAATCATGGATTTTTAGTTGTGCATCCATGGACATAATCTTGTGCATAGTGGGTCTTCTGCCGTGCATGGTCTGCATAACCTGTCTTTCTCCAGGCTAGTGAATTTCTAAAAAATCATGGATTTTTAGTTGTGCATCCATGGATATGGTCTTATGCATAGTGGGTCTTCTGTTGTGCATGGTCTACGTAGCCATTTCAGCCAATATGGTAACTAAATTACTCAACATTCATGGATTTGTAGTTGTGTATGAATGAGAACTGAATCTATCTTTATATTTTTCTTGTTTCATTTTGGTTTTGAAATTATGTCACTATTATATCACTATTAGTAAATCCACTTTTCTTGATTTGTTTTGCTATCCTTGATTTTTTCTCTTCTGTTAATCATAGTTAATTTATGCAGGTGCTAAGCATAAAATGGCTTCCAACAAACCACAAAAAGCAATATCAACTACGGGATGGTGCGATTTTAGAAGAGAATTTTTGGAGATCAATAAAGGCAAGTACAAAAAGGTAGGCGATTCAAATGAGGCTGCAGCTGAGATATGGAAAAAAATGAGCATAGAGGAGAGAGGGAGCCATATAGAATGAAGGTGACTGAAAATAGAGAGGTGAAAATGTAGAAAAAATATGACATTCCTTTCCACACTCGATGCTCTCGAGCAAAATTTAAAGAAATTGCTGAGTTCGTAAAAGAGAATGGCCATTTAAAAAAGAAAGTTGAGGCAATTGTGTTTTCTAAGTTATTGGATATCGAAGGCTTGAAAATCCAAAGAGAGTTGTGCCGTGAGATCATGCGATCTTATGATCCCCCGACTCAAAAATGACAATAAGGGGGAAAATGGTATTAGTGAGAGCAGGGGACTTACAGGCTATTATGGGGCTACCTAATGCTACAAGGGTAGTAGAGTTGAATGTTAACAAGGAGTTGGTAGTAGAATTGAAGAGTGATTATACATCAATGTCATTAAATGACTTGAAGAACAAGATCACTTCAAATGATGAAAATGACAAGTTCGAGTTCTATTTTTTATTGTTGACACTTGGAACTCTTTTGTTTCTAGTGGAAGTCCCCGAGTAACTGATAAGGCGTTGAAGGTGTTGGCATGTACGAATGATGCATGGTCTGATTTTGATTAGGCTACTTTTATGTTAGAGGAGTTGAATCGAGAGATTCAGCTCTACAAGGAGCATGTCAAGAAGAGAAAGTCAAAGGGAACCAAATATATTGGAGGATTCCTCTACTTCTTATTAGTAAGCTAAGTTATTTTTACTATTCTCATGAACCTTAGTTGTTACAGCTATCCTTACATTGAATTGATGTTTTAGATTTTCTATCTCTAAAATTTTACTCTGAATAAAGCTGTACCCCCAGCCAGTGAAGCAATAGGGTATTAGACTAAAGAAAGAGTTAATGAAATGGTGAAGGTTGAGCGGTAGAGCTGCCATGGCCTGTTGTACACTAAAGCACCAGCCCACCATGATGCCAACCTTAGTGCCTCGACACAACTGCCTTCAATTACTGCCTTTTATGACAATGTTGTATACTCTTAACCTAATAGTATTTTTGGATCCTTTAGTTATGAGTAAGTGAACCCTAAGTTCAGAACAAGTAAACCTTTTGATGTGCAGGACATAAAGGATGTGTACGAAAGAGTGAAAGCTTACATGCAGAAGGTCTGTTTTGCCAATGTTAATTTGTGAACATTTCATTATGAAACAAGAACATATTATTGTGAATAAGTGCACATTTCATGTTTTGTAGGAAATAAAGGAAGTACAAGAGAGAGTCATGTCTTACATGGCCAATGAGCTGCTAGAGTTGCAATCAAAGAGGGCTGTCATAGAAGAGGAAGAGGATGAAGATGAGGTAGGTGAGAATGACAAGGATGACAAGGAGGGTGAGGAGGGGGAACATGATAAGGATGAGGATGATGCATACATAGAGACAGAAGAACAAGGAGAGGTGGAGGATCTAAAAAACATGAAAGTTGACAAACAAGAAGGTGGGGAGGATAAAGAGAAAGATAGAGATCAAGTGGTAGAAGAAGCAGAGAAATCAGACATAGATGCATCTGAACACAAAGTGGCTATCGAAGAGAAAGGGAAACTTCCAGTGAGGAGATCTAAGAGGAAGAAGAAGGCTGTTGTTAAATCTTCGTGGACGCCACTTGTTACCAGAAGAAGAGAAAAGTTAGTGACAAGCAACGGCTATATAAATTGTGCACAGATTGGTGTATAACAGATGATGGTGGAGAGTAAGTGAAAAATTACTGTCATAAGAAATTGAAAAAAAATGTTCTTTACTACAAAGCATCGTAACTATTTGTTTTGGTTGGATGCTGCAAGATATTGGTCCAAATGTATGACTACTATCTTACACGGAGTGAGCTACGTTTCTCTTGGACCAGCACAATGGATAAGCAATTGGATAAAAAAATTTTAAACCTTTATTTAACAATGGAAGTCCATATATGTACAACTGCATGTTCATAGATGAACAACTAAATGTCTATATATGTCCATGTAGGTAATTACTATGGTCAACAGGACTCTTGTAGGTGATCAGAAGGAGCAGTCATCTCATGTCACATGTCATATTTTTTATGCTGAATTCATGGCTAGGATGACAAAGAATCCATCACGGTGGAATATAGATGAGAATGCAAAGCATATTATCCCGAGCATTTGGGATATAACTTAGGTGACTGTGATTTCATATTTAGGCCTACGGTTGTTGGAAACCATTGGTTCTGCTTTGTCCTGGAGCCAAAGATAATGAAATTGTATATTCTTGATTCTATGGTTGATCATGAGCAATTAGAGGCTGAGGAGGAAGATATGAGAAAAGCAGGAAGAAAAGGGAAAGGGAAGTTGGCAAAAAAAATGCCTGAAGGATCCAATATACAAGGGCCAAATAATGATGGGTGCAAATATTGTACGCTTTAAATTATGAACACTTGCTTTTGAATTTGTCACCTTTTTAGTGTTTGTTGGCTGACCATTTACCTTTACAGGGGGAGCATTTTAGATCAATTTTGCTTAAGGTGAAGCCAAAATTATCTCAGGTCGAATACAGTACTGACATGCTCTATCCGCGAGTCCTCAAGCAAGAGAACAAGTAAGTTATGCTGGTATAATGTTATAATCTTTTTCACTATTTCCTTCATTCATATCTCACTCTATTGCCTTCATTGTGCAGTGATGATTGTGGAATTCATCTCATTACGTGGCTCAAATTCTGGAACAATACTGTTAATGTTGATCATCCTCCATTTACCATGCCTAAATACATAACACAAGAACTATTAGCCATGAGGTGTGACATATTATGTTGGCTAGTGAAGCATCCCAACAATGTCATCCATGACCGTCCACTTTCACTTGTAGAAATAAGCACATGAAAAGACAAATGTAGGATTGTATAATTAGGTTCTTCGACAAAGATTGTGTACATATTTGAAGATTTTTTTGTAATTTGGAAATATTTTTTTGTTTGTAATTGGAATTATGTATATATTTGCACAAAAAGAAAATGAAAGCTATAGTCTCAACCTTTCCATTATGTATAGGACAACACCCCCTATGCACAAGACGATATCCATGCATGCACAACTATAAATCCATGATGTTGAGAATTCAGCTATGCACAACTATGTCCATGCATGCACAACTATAAATCTATGATTTTTCAATAATTCACTAGCCTGGAGAAAATGAAAAGTTACGCAGACCATGCATGGCAAAAGGCCCACTATGCACAAGACCATGTCCATACATGCACAACTAAAAATCCATGATTTTTCAGTAATTCACTACCTGGAGACAGGTTATGCAAAACCATGCACGGCAGAATACCCACTATGAACTATACGATGGCCATGTATGCATAATGAAATGTCCATACATTTTTAGAAATTCTGTTGCTAAAATGGCTACACAGACCATACACAGAAGACCACCTAGTATACATAAGACACTGTTCGTGAATGGACAATGAAAAGTCCATGCACTTTTAATATTAATAAGGACAATTACATCAGATAAGAATTTCATGTTGGTACTAGCCAAATGAAATTTGACATCATATTTCAAGTTTGACATACATAAAAAGTTACCCACTGTATGCAAAACATCTAACAATTGCTTCTCTATATACAGACAAAAAATATATGTCATTCCCAGTTACCCAAAAAAATATTAATTGAGAATGCTTCCATATACATAATTATAGCTAGCTATGCACACTAAAGAAGTATAATGTAACTACTTGTCATGATGGGTTAGGATTCTTGCATGTCTTGTGACTGTATCCAGCCTCCCCATATCTTGAACAATGATAAATCTTTTTATCTTGGAATTGAGACTATCCTCCTTGTTCTTGGCCTCCCGAGAGGACGGCTAGCTAAAGGCGGCTGCAAGAAAGTTTGTGATAAGTTATCTGTTAATGTTGCTGTATCAGGCTTTGGAATGTCAAAAGTCTCAATCGAGATCATATTATTACCATAGATTTTTTCTTGACAACTTAAATGATACCATTCCTCAACATATTGATATATATTGCCATATGAAAGCTTTATGGCAGCACATGCATGAGGATATGGTAGTCCAGACATCTGCCATGCCAGGCAAGAGCATTCACGTAATTCAAGATTTACTCGCACATCTCCATTTAATGTTTTCACCCTAACAGTGTTCAATGCATAAAAATCAACTTGCAATGTATCACCTCTTAACACATTTTCCTTTAGCTTGGTCTCCACATTTGGTCCAATACCATTTGTCCATTTTTCCAATGCCACTTTGCTGTTGTGTAGCTTCTTCGCTAATTTCTCCCTATGCTCGTACATAAAAACAGCAATATTATATTTCATTTCCTTGACAACCCAAGAATTAAAGGACTCAGTAATGTTGGTCGTTATGTTATCCCACCTCCTATAGGGAAACTTGCTAAGTACCCATCTATCTATGTCACTGTGTGTTTCAAGCCATTGCAATAAATCCGAAGAAAAATTCATCATATTTGACATTGTAACATTAAACTCACTAGGGAGTCTTGCATAAGCTATTGCATCTAGGAGCTTGAATGCTGCATCCTTTGTCACTCCATTCTTTCTCTTACCTCTTGTGACTTTCAAAAACTCTAACCCAAAGTTTTCTTTCACATGATGATAACAGAAAGCATGCCTGTCACAACCATATATTGCTTGTACAGCCTTAATGATTGAATTATGTCTGTTAGACACTAGTGCTATCTCTCGCAATTTTGTTATGTTCTTAATATTTTGAAGAAACCATGACCACTCCTCAACTGTCTCACCACCTACCACGGCATATGCCATAGGAAACATCTTATTATCTGCATCATATGCACATGCTGATAGTAGAGTTCCCTTATATGGTCCACTCAAGAAAGACCCATCTATATATAGTATGGGTCAAGCACCTTCCATGAAACCTTTTATGCTACATCCATATGTAATGAACAAACATTGAAATCTATTGCACGGCCCAGCTATCCATTTTGCAACTGTGGTCGGATCACTTTCAATTAGCCTTTGACACATCCAGGGAATTAACATATATAATTGATCCGGTTGACCATGTATTTTAGCCAAAGCTTTCTCCTTGCCTTTATATGCTTGATAATAACTAAGTTTCAAACCATACTCCCTATAAATGTCTCATCTAATATCATTAGGAGACTTGCTTATGGAAGCCCTCAAATCATCAATTATTATGGATGACGTTAGTGTTGATCTACTTTTATGGGACTTAACTTGTATACTCCAATATACCATGGACATCCCCCAACTGTACACTTCACAATAACTTGACCTAGTTTGTTCTTCAAAAATTTGTATTCGAACTTGTGTGCTAGGCTATACTTGTATAATGCCTTCCTAAACGCCACAGCATGAGCAAAAATTTGTCCTACTCCAACAAGCAAATCCTTCTACTTGCTAGCATTCATCTTTGAAATAGGGGTAGGAATGCATTGGATAGCTAAATTATCTTCTCCACTTTCTGTTGGAATGCCTCCTCTAGAGTTGCATAAGCTGAAGCCTTCCAAATCAATATCCCAATGCTAAGGAGATCGCGAACTTCCATCTGAAAATGGTAAAAATTGGTCTATCCTGCATTTACAAAAGTTACCACATTATTAGTGCTTTGTATTAATAACTTATATTTTAAACAACTAACTATTCAATATAAACAAGTAAATATTCATGTTTGCATATTATATAATCCAGTGTTCCTGACAATGCATTTTTTGACCCAAATGACATGAATGTCAGTACTTACTCTTCAGGATCATCTTCAAGTGCAGCCCATCTAGCAACATACACATGAGCAGTTTTTCCATTGTATTCAAACAATTGTTCAACTCTAATATCATCAAGCAGATCTATGAATGTGCTTGAATCAATCTTAACAGTGAACTTTACGTCATTTCCATTATCACCATGGCAAACTTCTGAAGATATAAATGATCTTAGCTTTGTATATTTCATTCCTTTTGTTATGGTTCTTGCAATTACATTTCCACCCTCATACTTCATACCACTATCAGCACTCCTCACAAATTCACCGCCACAGTGGAAGAAACAAAACAATTTTTCTCTAGAATTACTTTCCATCTCTTATAATAACCTGCAATGAAGAAATTAATCTACTTAAATGTTCACATACAAAAGCCCAATTTTACACAACACAAAGTTCAACAGATACAACTTAAAGTTTATTTTCACACAATAGATACTCCAACATCTTTGACAGCAAATTTTCTTCACATTGGGAGTCATATTGTATTCAATTCGCATGTCAAAATTCAATATTAACAAGTCAACCATAGATATTGTACATATATTTTCACCTAAAAGTCCATGTTATTCAAGTTTATCATTAGGCTAAGCTTTAATAGAATGCTCAAATTAGGCAAATATAGCACAACATAATATCCACTATGCACGACACAGAGTTCATATATTCTTACCTGAACTAACTTAATGGTTCAGCAACCTTTAGCTTATATCAGTAGCTTAGGCTTCCTCAACAAATTGCACAAGTAGGCAAATCATGTATAACACAATATTCACTATGCACAATATAAGGTTTATTTATTCTCACTTGAAAGATCATATTATTTCAATTTATCATTAGGCTAAGCTAAGCCGACCCCACCTAGTGGGATAAAGGCTTGTTGTTGTTGTTTGTTTGTTATCATTAGGCTAAGCTTAACGAAAGGAATGATCAAGGTAGGAAAACAAGGCATAACATAATATCCACTATGTATAACACGAAGTTCATATATTCTCACCTAAACGTCATGTGATTCCAATTTATCATTAGACTACGCTTAACATAATGCACATCTCAACATCCAAAAAAAAAACAGCTCAAAGTTCATTTTTGCACAACAAATACTCCAACATTTTTGGCAGAAGATTTTCTTCATATTGGATCATATTTCATTCAATTCATGTGTAAAACTCCAATATAAATAAGTCAACCATCATCATTGTGAAACAAAAAGTTCATCTATCATGGCCAAAATGGTTCAGCAACCTTTACCTCATATCAGCAGTAGAATCACAAATAAAATTTCAATTTCAACAATATCATATTTAACTTTGTACAATAAAAAATCCATCTCATATGCACCCTACTATCTCATGTAAAACCCCCTTAAATGCTTCCATTAAATGAACCACTATATATTAAATGAGTGAAGATCATCTCTATCGCCACTTCACCAGTAACTCACATCCAGTAATGGAAAATCTTAAATTATTTCTACCCTTAAATGATTTATGCAGCAACAATGGATGCCTCTCATTTCTACATTAAGAATAGTAAAAATCTCAGCTCATTTCTGCTGCAACACTGTCAGAAACCAGGAAACCTCCACCTCAAACCATGAAATCATCAAAGCACTGCTTAAGATGGAGAGATATCGAAATCTATGCACCTTGAAAGTTACTCCTCTCCATTAGAGATCAGAAACCTTCCCATTCTCCAGCTGAATACCCATCCCCATGTTTGTCATTCTTTCTCTATGTTGGATTTCATTTCTGTCCATTAAGGGCAAAAAAGTATTTTCGCTCTAAAAAAAATTGCACTTGAGGCTTCAAGGCCTGCAGAGAAATTTCAAATTCATTTAGGCCCTAAGTGAGATAAACTCTGTTTTTAGGGCCTTTAATGCCATTCTCCCTAAAAAAAATCAACATTTCCCAATCCATTAAGTTTAACAATCAACATCATACTATTTTGTTTTTATCTGCATATTTTTTGGGTAATTTAAATGATTTTTAAGCACAAATAATTAACTAACAATTGGATGGATTTAAATAAAATCATAAAAATAGAAAGGATATTTGTGTCTTGTAATTAATCATACTAGAAGAAGTTCATATAAGTATGAAAAATAGAAGGAAAGTTAAGATATTTTACTCTAATAATTATTATTTCTTTCTTTTATTTACATTAAGGGTCAAAAGATTGTTCATATTTGACTTATGCATTTTTTTCACTTTTATTTTGTTTAAAAATTTAAATCATTTTTATAAAAGAAAAATACAATCATTAATCCCTATAATTTTATTAAATTTTGTTTTTAATCCTTGTAATATTTTTCAATGTGTTTAATCCTTGTAAGAACTTGAATAGAAAATATCACTCAATCTTGTTAGAACCATAGAGATTGAAAATACTAAAAAAAAAACTACAGAGAATAAAAACAAAACTAAGTGTGCATTTGGATAATCAACATTTAGCATTTGAAATTGTTTAAGTGATTTTTAAGTAAGCAAAATGACTTTTTAAATGCAAATTGAGATGGGTTTAAATGTAAATTTGAAAACTCTATTTTCTAGTGGATTTCAAATTGCAAATGAAAGTTGAGAACAATTATGAGAGAAATAATTTTGTACTTAATTTTATAAATGACCATGGTACCCTTATAAATAATTTTGTGCCTGCTTTTATAAATGATAATAATATCTACTCTTTTTATTCAAAAATATAAGGCACTTTCTGAGAGATTGAATATTCAAAAAGTTAATACATTTTTAATCTTTCAAAACATAATCATTACTTTTTTTTATCAAAAATACTCATATTAATAAATCATTTTATGTTTACTTTTTAAGGTGAACCACCCTATTACATAAGAATCAATGTAAAATTATAGAATTAATTTTATAACAAATAACTACTTTATTGAGAGATGGTATTACATTAAAAATGCTTTACATTTTTAACGGAAGGAGTATATTTTTTATTCTTATTATTTAAAATATTAAATTTATATTATTTTAATTTTTTCACATTTTTTAAACATTTTTAATATAAGACATTTTTATAATAAAAATTTCAAATTATTATAAATTAATGTTCTTTTTGATTATGACATATTCAAAAAATATTTTAAAAGTACAAATCATCATTAATCCAAATAATTTTTAATTTATCAGACTAACTTTTAAAAAAATACATCCAAATATAAATTGTTATAACAATTGACTTTCACTTAATTAACTTTTACCAAATGCACTTTCAACAAATGAGCTTTTTTATTGTATTTTCCCTTCTATAGATTGATAATTAAGCAATTAATGTTCTTATTTTACCTCTTACTATATCAAAATAAAATTATTCAAATTTAAGAGAAAATCAAATTCAAAACAACAAACTTTATCTCACAAAGTGGAGTCGACCAAAATAAATGAATGCACAGGCACATGAATCAAATTCTGATTATTGCATAGTTAGGGGCCCCCCACTAGTTCTAGTAAAAACTACAGAATTCATGAGGGCTAAAAAAATTATAACATGGTAATAATTGAAATGATAAAGAAGAACAAGGGGTGGATCATCCTTGAATGAGAAGTACATCAAGATTTAGAGGCAATTCTACCACAAAACCCAAACCTGTTCTCAGCATTTTGTATCTATAAACGTCAGCTCTCAAGTTTCATGACCAGGAGAAATACATGGAAATCTAGCAGAGATGTAAAACAGGCCAACCCAACCCTACAAATTCAAACTCATGGGATAAAAAAAATATTATATATATATATATATATAAATAGATATAGATATATATTTGCAGTATCTGGAGTAATCACGAAGTTGTAGAAATCAAACTGTGCACAAAAGCAGAACCCCAAGAGGAGAGATTGCATTTGCTAAAGCTTCTTTGCTTCAAGATTCTGGGGCAGGAGGAGTTTTCAGAAGTGGTTGAAGGGCTTTAACAACGATGCTCATGTTCGGCCTAAACTCAGATTCGTACTGCACACACAGTGCTGCAACCGCCGCGAGCTACATAGTCAAAATTAAGCATGGTCAGCCTTAAGTTCCAACCTCAAGACCCAAAGAGTGTTAAGACAGGAGAGACAGGAGAGGGGGGGGGGACCTTAGCGACCCCTTTGGGGGGGTATTCTCCCTTCAATTTTGGGTCCACACATTGTTTAACTTTATCTTCACTCAGTCTTGGTGTAGCCTGCGGAAAAAATATCTACATCAACACTTGGAAATCCAAATCAAAACCATCGACACAGATAACAGCAAACTGGTTTCCTACGTTCCCCCCCTTTTGGGGAAAAAAGGGGCTGTAATCGAAGACAAGCTCTAGTATGCTCAAACTTGTTCATTTGAAGTACAAGAAACCCAAACTTTAATTAAAAAAATTAGTTACGTAACATTCTAAATTAGTTTATCAACAAGTAAACCTTGAACAGCATTATAAATATAACATATGCTTCATGCTTGCCTGCGCACAGTAAACCTTGAAGTTCACTCACCCATGTAACAAGACTCTGCTGTCCACGAGGCATGGTATGATCAACAGGTTTTCTTCCTGTGAGAAGCTCAAGAAGAACAACACCAAAACTGTAGACATCACTTTTTTGTGTCAATTGGCCAGTCATTGCGTACCTGTAATTTGGACAGGACAATGGATGCTAAGAACGGAGAACCAATAAAACAAAAAAGACCATAACATACACAAGGCCCTAAAACATATAACTATTCCTTCTTTTAATACATCATACATATCCATGAATCCAACAACATGCTGGTAATACAGATACAGAAAGAAAAATCTTGCAGGTTCAGAAATTTACTCTGGGGCATGATAACCAAAGGTTCCCAAAACTCGAGTAGAATGAAGACGTGCAGCCATGTCAGGTGCCTGATTGGAAAGGTTAAAATCAGCTACCTTTGCCTTGTAATCTTCAAAAATAAGCACGTTGCTCGATCTTATATCTCTATGTATAATTGATGGTTGAACTTTCTCATGCAAATATTCCAATCCTTTGGCTGCATCCACTGCAATTCTAACCCGCTGCATCCAGTCAAGAGTTGGCCCCGGTTGTGCCCCCTGAACTCCCTTTCTACCTGTAGCGCACAAGCTATCAAAATCATTGAAATAATTTCTTATACATAGTAAGAATTTCAAATGTTAGAGGATAATGCATTGATCTGAATTTAAAAGAAGGGTATTCATGCTTATTTATAGTGGATGTCATAATACGTGAAGCTAACTGCAAATCACTGGTGATTATTACAAGGTGAACACATATAAACTACCTAAATAATTACAAATATTAACTTTCATTTACACGAGATTCCAACTTTTCTTTGATGAACCGGCAATCAATCTCCACGTTCTTTATCTTCTCATAATGAATAGATTTCTCAGTGTTGGTAGCAGAATTGTTGCCATAAATACTAACACATACCTCTATGGTGATTCCAAATTCTCTGATAAGTCTTTGGACCAAATTCTTTCACAAACACCTTGTGGAAAGGGCCTTAAACTCTTCTTCAGTACTACTCCTAAACATCAGTACTACTCCTAAACACAACAGATTGGCTTTTTACTTTTCCACATTACTAAGGTTGCCACACAAATATGCAATAACTTGGTAGATCTCCTATCAGTAACTGAACCGACACAAAATGCATATATAAACCTCAAGACTCCTATTTGCATCATTCCTAAACCTTAGTTCCAAATTCTCAGCCAAGAGGACACTTTAGCCTCCTTGTTTCATGATAGAGCTGATCAGTGGCTATGGCTATAAGAGCAAATTAAGAAGAAAAAGATAGATGGGGGCAAAACAAAATCCGCTGGGTCAAAGATTATACTATGGGTGATGCAAAACACACGCACACACGCTCATATTAATTTGAACAGAGTTGGAAAAGAGAGATATAGCAGAAACAAAGTGGGAGATCAAGAACAGAGGGGGAGAGAAAGACAGAATACAGAGAGAAGAAGAAATGAGAAGATGAAGGCAGAGTAGTGGAGGGAGAAGGCGGCAGACGAAGAGGGGAGAGAGAAAGTGAGAGCTTTCAGATTCTAATATTCATTCCTCATTCAAAAGTATCCAGTACAAGTGATAACTTAATCTATTTATAAACTAAGCTTTCCTTCCCCTTAAGCAAGCCCAACAACTTGCAAATTAAAATATATAAGGAGTAAAAGCAAAAGTAAGTCAGATTTCCTTCCTTAGAAGGAAACTTACAAAATACTAAATAATGCAAAAAAACAATTATTTCTTCCTAAAATAACATCTGCCATATTTTCTATCAATTCTCCCTGCTGCAAAGAACTCTCCTCCGGAGAGGTAGAGAGTTGTTAGGCTTCTAGCAAGGCCGGATTAAGTTGTTGGAATTCATCTTCTGAAATCCAGGTGACATCTTCATCAAATCGACCTCTACAACAAACCAAATAACGACGGAGGGGCCCTTTAGAGGTAAAGACCATTTGATCATCCATAATGGTCTCAATTTCGTCAACTGATGGTGAGACAGCAGGCAATGATGGAATTGGCACCTGTGAAGGCTAAGTACCTGCAGAATCATCAGAAAGCAAAGGGGAAGGTTCCAAAGTTCCCCAATAAAGCATAAGATCCTCCACGTTAAAAACTAGACTTACGGCCAAATCAGAAGGTAATTCTAAAAAATAAGCATTAGGTCCTAATTTCTTTGTTATGCAAAAAGGTCCCAAAGCTCAAGCATACAACTTTTTAAAAGTGTGTTTAGGGTAACATTCTGGACAAATGCGAGCCATAACACAATCACCTATATTGAAGCTTTGAAATTGGCGATGCGTATTAGCAAATACTTTATATTGATCATTACTCGTCACTAATGTGCGACTAATTTTAACATGTAATTCATGAAGGCGATTGGCAAAGGATTTTGCAGATTCAGAGATGCGAAATGTCAACGGGATTGGCAGGAGGTGAACAGGCTGTTTAAGATTAAAACCTTGAACAATCTGGAAGGGACTCATGCCTATAGACCTATTCACTGAATTATTATATGCAAACTCTGCAATGGGTAGAACCAAATCCCAGTTCTTCGGCCTATCTCCAACTAAACTCCGAAGCAAATTACCCAAACTACGATTAGTGACTTCAGTTTGCCCATTAATTTGGGGATGGAAAGCAGAAGAGAACTTCAATTGGGTACCAAAAAGTTTTCATAGGGTCTTCCAAAAGTAACTAACAAGCTTAACATCCCTATCGGATACAATATTGATAAGTAACCCATGCAGATGCACAATCTCCTTAAATAACAACTTTGCCAGCTGTAAAGCATCCGTAGTTTTGCTACAAGGAATAAAGTGAGCCAACTTTGAAAACCTGTCCACAACAACTAATACAAAGTCATGACCTCTAGCTGTGCAAGGCAATCCTAAGACAAAATCCATACTCAAGTCTTTCTAAGATGCCTCGAGAATCGGCAAAGGAACATACCAACCGGTATTCTGTCCCCTAGCTTTAGAAGTTTGACAATTCCGACATTGAGACACTATGCGAGCTACATCACGCTTGAGTGAAGGCCAGTAGAACCTATCTTTAACTAATGCCATTGTCTTATTAACCCCGAAATGACCAGCTAAACCTCCAGCGTGTAACTCCTATATAAGAAAATCTCGCATAGAAGTATGTGGGATGCACAGCTTGCTTCCACGAAAGAGATGACCATCTTTAAGGATGAAATCAACATGCTCATGACAGTTACCACTACAAACTTCTTGGTATATTATCCAAAATCTGGACATGAAGCATAGTCTTCCTTCAAGTTTTCAAAACCAACACTAACACTCATAGTGTGCAACAAGTTGATCCGTCGGCTCAGGGCGTCAGCCACTGTATTTTCTGTTCCTGAACGATGCTTGACCACAAAAGTGAATCACTGAATATACTCAACCCATTTAGCATGTTTAGCATTTAAGTGCCGCTAAGTTGATAAACCTAAGCGCCTGATGATCAGTGTAAGGAACAAATTGCTACGAAAGAAAATAGTACTTTTAATGCTCAAGGGATCTCACAATCACATAAAATTCCTTGTCATAAGTAGAATACTTTTGTTGGGCATCATTAAGCTTTTCGCTAAAGAAAGCCACAAGGTGACCTTCTTGGCTTAGTACATCTCCGATTCCTGTCCCAGACACATCACAAGCAACTTCAAAACACTTTGTAAAATCCGGTAAAGACAAGACTGGAGCTTGAGAAAGCTTCTTCTTAATATCTTGGAAAGCCATGAAAGCTGTAGAAGTCCACTAGAACTTATCTTGTTTTAAGCAATCAGTGATAGGAGCCATAATGGTACTTAAGTTTCAAATGAAGCGTCTATAGAAAGAAGCAAGGCCATGAAAACTTTGTACTTCATGGAGAGATTGTGGCTTAGGCCATTCTCGAATGGCTTGGACTTGCTCAAGGTCAGCTACTAAACCCCTTTCGTAAACTATAAAACCCAGGAAGATGACTTGATTTTGAAGAAATGAACACTTAGGCAAGTTAATATAAAACTGTTCTCGACGCAAGTGAGAAAAATTAACTCGAGATGTTCCAAGTGTTCTTCTTTTCACTTGCTAAAAACTAGTATGTCATCAAAGTATACCACCAAAAATTTTCCTAAGTATGAGCGAAGGAGGTGAGTCATTACTCTCATGAATGTACTTGGGACATTTGATAACCCAAAAGGCATGACAAGCCATTCAAACAACCCATCTTGCATTTTAAAAGCAGTCTTCCACTCATCTCCAGGTCTAATCTTGATCTGATGATAACCACTTCTGAGGTCAATCTTTGAAAACCAACTAGATCCAGACACTAAATCAAGCATGTCATCAAGTCTAGGAATGGGAAACCTATACTTGATGGTGATCTTATTGATGGCTCTGCTGTCTACACACATTCTCCAAGAGCCGTCTTTCTTTGGGACTAAAAGAGCAAGTACTGCACAAGGACTCATACTATGCTAGATATAACCCCTTTCAAGCAATCCATTGACTTGTCGGTTAAGCTCTGCCCTATCTTTAGGGTTCATCCTGTAGTACGGTAGATTAGGGAGGTGTGAACCTGGAATGAAATCAATTGCATGTTGGATATCTCTCATTGGTGGTAATTCAGATGGAAGCTCATCTGGAGTGATATCCCGGAATTGTTGTAAGAGCTGTTGCACCTTTTCTGGCATTTCTGAAGTAGTAGCAATTCGTTGTGAGATCTTGAATACCAAAACAAACACAATCGTACTTTCTTTCCTTTCTTGTACAAATTGTTTTTCTATCAGAAGATGCAAGTTGTGAGTTTTGGGTTATGTGCCTTTTGATTTACTTGAGCATTTGCCTTCGTTGTCAGGCTTAGCAGGACATAACAGGATTGTCTTGCCTCCATGCTTAAACACATAGGTATTCTCACGACCATGATTCATAACATTGTGATCATAAAGCCATGGTCGACCAAGTAAAATGTGAGCAACATCCATTGGAAGAACATCACAAATAATCTCTTCTTTATAGTCACCTAAGTGAAGAGGAACGCGACACTGTTGGGTGACTGGTAAAGTCTTGTCGACCCATGCAACACGAAAAGATTCTGGGTGAGGTTCTGTCTTGAGGCCGAGTCGGGCTACTCCTTGACGAGAAATAACATTTCTAGAACTCCCTCCATCAATCAATAATTTGCAAGCTTTATCTCCACACTTCACAAAAGTGTGGAAAATACTTGTTCACTTCCATGAATCACCAGGCAGAGGGATAGATAGAATGCATCGCATAACTCCAACTCGACATGTCTCACACCTATGTTCATCAATGATGATGTCCTCATTGACATCTGAAGGACACTCAATCAGATCTATGACAATATCAGCATTTGCATTGTCTTCCTCACCCTCACATTGTTAGTCAATAACTGGAGTATGCTATGGGCATTTCGACGCAATGTGTCCCTTTGAGTGACAGCAAAAACACTCGACAAAAGAATTGTTAGGGTAGCAAGCAGGAACTATAGCCTCACTAGGCTTAGAAGTATTACCCTTCAACCCAATTGCTTGAATAGGTGTAAAAGACGAGCTAGGCCTAGATGTAAGTGCTCTTGTTGGTCATTCAGACAAACTAGAAGTTCGTGCTTGTCTAAACTAATTGCTCTGCATGTTGATACGCTTTGCAAACGAGTACTGTGACAGAGACTCTACTTCCAAAGTCTTATGATAAGCTTCTTCGAGAGACTCTGAAAAGTTTAACTTGAGTTCCTTCTGTATATATGGCTTGAGTCCATTACCAAACTTGGTAATGGTGTGCCATTCCTCTTCATTCACGTCACATCTAATCATAAGGTTATCGAATCGGGAAATATGCTCTGAAGCTGTGGAGACTTGCCTCAAATTAAGGTATTTGTCATACAGTTGACTCTTATAATGAGTTGGCACATATTTTTCTTTCAGCTTGCCTTCATTTCGTCCCACGTCTCAATCAGTGGATAACCTTGTTGCTCAATGTTCCTTTGGACATTTTTCCAATATTTTCTAGCAAATCCCACGAGCTTCCTCTTCGTAAACCGAACTCGTTGAATATCTCTCATGTCATACCATTCAAAATAATCTTCCATACTGGCTAACCAATCTAGGAACGCACTAGGATTCAATCATCCATCAAACTCAGGAGCTTCAACTTTAACCTTTTTGGTGATGTCATCAGTATGTGTCCTTCTAAGGCCTCCTCCACCATTCCTATGGACTAGCTGGTATGGTCTATAATGTTGTTCTTCAGGCCCCTGTCCATCCCAAGTATCATCTATGTTATCAGAATGATGATTGGTAAATTCATAAGGAGATGGTCTATTGTGTCTTTCCCCCATAGCTCTAGAGAATGACCAATCCTAAGGGAATTACCTCTAAGTTGATTGTGGACTGGGAATTGCTCATTTCTAAGACTTGACTCTCCTCTAATTGTTTTCCCTGTATCTTGTCTGTATGTTAACTGAATTGCACCCATTATCTCTTCAAATTTATTGTTCATTTAATTTCATCTAGCCGCTGGTCCACATATGCCCTTTGAGTCCTTTCAGATTCCTCAAGATGATTTTGGGTGATTTGGGAGTTATTGGCCGTGGCAAATTTTAGGGTAGTAATTTCTTAGTCTAATAAAGCTTGCTTATCGTATAAATCACGAATGGTCATAAAATGACAAAAATGGTATAGTAAAGTGCAAGTTTGGAGTAGATTTAATAATCTAAGGAAGAAAGGCCCCCAAGTTGCCCTCACCTAAATAGGTGAAGTCCCTTTTTAACAACACTAATCCTCTGAGAATTCAAAAATTTCACAGGGATCATATGCTAAATAGGTAACAGCTCGAGTGAAGTCTTCATAGAACTCTCCAAAGGTTTAAAAACCTTTCAAGAAAACTGTTAGAAACTTCAACTAACCTAGGGTAATTTTTGGACCCAGGTATAGGGCCAAATTGTGTGAGGTAGGTGTCCTAGGTTATACAAATACTGCTATCAAAAGTCACAAATTAACAACATAATGATCAATGTAAATTCCTTTATATATATATATATATATATTTCAAAATATTAAATTAAAACACGATTAAAAAAAATAAAAATTGCACTGTTCAAAGAAACTAAAGTACCGCACAACAAAAATTTCAGAATTAACTATGAATAAAACACCTCCCTTTAATAACCAAATAAGCCAGTTAAATGAGAGGGTCGTCAGCCTTACCAGCGTTGCTTTAGGAGCATAAAACAAAAAGTTTTACCCCCAAATAAGTTTTAAACGATGACTTGTGCCCCTCAGCTTCTTCAGAGTTGAAGAAATTTCGTGAAAACGCAAGAAAACGCTGAAAATCAGGTCCTGGTGAAACTATACGGACGGTGCATGCGACAGCGTGTGAGGCGTGCGATGACCACGAGCAAAAACTCCTCTGGCGCGTGTGCCTGTAGGCGGAGGTGGTTTTTCTCGTTCTGAGCGGATTTCTCCTCCTGAGCACAATGGTGGCGTCCGTTTTCGAATCTGACGTCGACAAAAGTGGCTCTGGGCGCTGGCAGCGTGAACACAGAGTATGCTGAGCTTCCCTGTGAGTTTTCTCTGATCTCCAGCCGCGAAAACAGTCTAGGAACGTTCAAAGCCTTGCTCTGATACCAAGTTGATGCAAAACACACACACACACACACGCTCATATTGATTTGAACAAAGTTGGAAAAGAGAGACATAGCAGAAACAGAGTGGGAGATCGAGATTAGAGAGGGAGAGAAAGATAGAATACAGAGAGAAGAAGAAATGAGAAGATGAAGGCAGAGCAGTGGAGGGGGAAGGAGGCGGATGAAGAGGGGAGAGAGAAAGAGAGAGCTTTCAGATTCTAATATTCATTCCTCATTCAAAAGCGTCCAGTACAAGTGATAACTTAGTCTATTTATAGACTAAGCTTTCCTTCCCCTTAAGCAAGCTCAACCAACTTGCAAATTAAAATATATAAAGAATAAAAGCAAAAGCAAGTCAGATTTCCTTCCTTATAAGGAAACTTACAAAATACTAAATAATGCAAAAAAACAATTATTTCTTTCTAGAATAACATCTGCCATATTTTCTATCAATGGGTTGTGGCCGTAAGGGGAAAGAAGTGTTACAGGAGTAGGGATTAGATGCAGCTAAGGGTAGTGGCAGTGATTTCATAACTTCTTGGGTTTTAGATTCTCTGATTCAGCCAGAGAGAGAGGAGTTCAGTCTTTTGAAGAAAAGTGAGGATTGGGAGAGATGGGCCTCTTGAAAGCCAGAAGCACTGCCTTGTCTGTGTATTTTGTTTTGTCCTTGTATTTTGTTATGTTTTTGTAACCTCTGTATCAGGATGTATGAGGGATATAGGATTGACTTGAGTCATTACACATTATTTCCCTTGTAATCCAACTTAATTATTCAGCAACAGTATTTTCAGTCCCATTTGTAGCCTATTTTCTGGTTTTTGCTTGTTTTAAGCTTGTTAGAGTAGAGGGCTCTATCATGTCATCAATTTAATCATTTGTAACAACAATGTCATCAATAAACAAAACCAAACTAGAAATTTTACCATCATGTCAAATTTTGGTGAACATTCTACAATGATTTAATGTAATCATCTGTTAAATATAATTGTTACACAATTTTATATAGTATTTCTTCAATGTTTGAATAGTTTGAAGAAATGTAAGGAGTTTTGATATAGCTGCTGGTTTTACTCAAACATATAAAAGGAAATGAAGGAAAAACAAGGGTTAGGGCAGAAAGATGTGACAGGTTCAGGTCATTATCCTACAGGTCTAGGTTACAAGGGATAGGCAATAATACAATAGAGTGGCTTTAGACTCAGGCTAGCCATGTGAGTCAATTTTTGGCTGCTGCTAATACTTTGTATCTGGTTTTGGGTGCTCTCAGTTATGTTTTTGTGACATTAGAAAGCAGCGAAAAGAGTACTGGTCCCTCAAACAACAGCAAACAACCTTCTTGTTCTGTTCTGTTTTATTTTCCTTGTATGGTGTAGTGGGAACAGGGTTTTGGCCAGAATCACTACTGCTCCTTTTGTAATGCTAATTTGGTTCTTCAAGCATTAATAGCAAAACCTGAGTATTTCCCCGTTCATTGTCTTCTTTGCATTCATTACTCTGTAGTTTCTTAATATTTTGGGCTGGGCTGTAATAAGTTTCTAATAAGGAGTTTAGAATTCTATGGTTTTACATGACATTCTATTGACAAGGTATATGCCAGTGACTAGTGAGAATGGCCTGTCCCCAACAGTATTTAAGAACATTGGTGATAATCATTAGAGATCTAGGAGTATCTTTTCACTAAACCACTTCATTTTGTTGGTGGGGGTATCAACACAAACTTCAGCGGACAATCCCTTGCTAGGTAAGACGGTCAACAAGGTTTGCTGATACAATCTTTAACATTGCCAGACCTTGGAGTCTTTTAGCTTGAAATTGTTTTAGATCAAAGGCAGTGAATTGTTTGAAAATCTGGTGTTCTCTATTTCTCCCTCATGAGGTAAACCAAGGTAAGTCTAAAGTCTTGTATTATTATCAAAGGTAATAAACCATCTGGTCCCATATAAATTAAAATGAATTAAACCAAAGGGGTATGTCTTCGTGTGAAGGATAGAAATTTTCGTGTGCTTGGAAAGTTGGGATACTTCACATTGGAAAATAATATTATTTGTTTTTGCATAATTCTGAATATACTCATTTCATGTACTGAAAGTTGGGGCCCTAGTAATCAAAAACAAAACAGAAGAAAAGAAAAAGAAAAAGAAAAGGATAAAAGAAAGATAGAAAAGAAATTTGGGCTGCCCTGACCTAGTGCCACAGCGCGGTTTCACTAAAGAGGAGTAGCATTAGTAGCATGAATCAATTATTCCAGAATCCCAGCTCCATCAAGGAGATATAGCTCATGAACCTCTATCATTGCAAATTACCTTAATGCATCCAAATCCCAAGACAGCCAGCAACGTAAAACTTAGCAACATGAATAAGATACGAATTGCAAGGTAAACTGGATAAAAGCGATACAAATCTTGAAATTAATTCTCCACTTATTTTTGTTGTCCAGAAACTAGACAAGGCTCAGTTAGAACCACCATAACGTTTTCTCCTGAGCTAGATTTTGGACATTTGGAAAGATTAGGTCCCATGGCTCTAATACCATTTAAAAATTTCATTGTTTGACAATAAAATATATATGTGAATTTCAAAGAAGGACATAATAACATACTCCTTGCAGTCCAAAATATAGGATACTTGTAATTACTTCACATGAACCAAGAGAAGTAGTTAAAAGTGGATGGATTGAATCATTGAAATGATAAAAAATTATCCCTACTTTCTAAGATTACCCCCCAATTAATAACAATCTTAATTACCTTCAAATTCTTTCTTATATAATCTCTCTCTATAATACAATTAATAAGGGCATTTGCAGAAAAGAAGAATTTAAAACTATTGACTTTTTGCAAAGTGTCCTAAATTTTGAACCAACACTAGCTGATAGCAAATATCCTATAGCAGAGGTAGTGCATGCCTATTTGTATATTTGTAGAGGATATCCAAATAAATGAAGCTAACTACATAGCACTAGCTATTATTACAAGAACCCCTATCAACCGCCTAAATTAATCTTACATTTCAACTAATTAAAACTTAAATGATGAGATTCAAGTAGATGAAAAAATAAATAAATATGGGATCCGGGCTTCCAATAAAATACTGATTATAAGAAACCAAACCATACATACCGTGCAATATGTCATGAAGTGAGCCCATAGTTGCAAACTCATATGCCAGTACACGCATATTTCCCTCAACACAGTAACCAAGCAACTCAACAAAATTCTCATGCTTCAATCTTGAGACCATGGAAACCTATAATAAGGAACATCAAATATGAAAGCTAACAATGAAAAATTGACAGTAAACATAAAGGAGGACAGAAGAAAAAAAGAAAAAGAATAACGAGCACCTGAAAGTGAAAATCATAAGCTAACACATACCTGGCTCAAAAACTCAACATTTGATTCATCTTCAGACGAAACATCTAGCTTTTTCACAGCAACAGCTTTTCCATTATTTAAGGTTGCATAATACACTCTTCCATAAGATCCTTCACCAATCAAAGCCTTTGACCCAAAGTTGTCAGTCTTTTCCTTTAGCTCTTCTAAAGATAGTGGTGGTACTTCAATAGGTGGTGGTGCAGACTTTGGTGCTTCACGTTTGACAGGGGCTGACATTCTTGAGTCTCTTTGGTCATCTAAAATGCATAAAATACAATGTGAGGAATCTTTACAAGGGGAAAAAAAAAACTGCTACCTTAGATACTGAACTCTGCACAAAAAAATGATTTGGACTAACCCGTAATGTACATAATTAAGTCAAAAGATATGAGGGACAGAAAACAAGACCCTAAACAGTAAAAGAATCCAGGATACTTTGTAATTAAATATTCTATCGATGCCTTTCATTCCTAATACATGACTTTGTTTTAAAGCAATAAGCAATATGAGAAAAATCAATTCATTATAATGTAATATTAAGGAAAAATAAATCGCCTAAACAAAAGAAGGGTACCCCACATGATTGATAATTATTTTGGCACAACTTTACTTTTCAAATGAAATTTCAAAATGAAGTGATGGAGAGAGAAGCAATCTGTGTTTGGTAGAATCATTTGGTGACTGCTGTTATCAATATTTGAGACCCAGTTTTTTTTTGATAAATATTTCAGGGGAAAAAGTGCTTGTAACTGTCAAATTATGGAAAAGGACGTGAATAAATTTGAAATTTTAAATAAGGGTACTCAAGGCAAATGATGATAGAGCGGCAATAATACCATCTTGAAAAAAAATATATATATCATTACTCACAGGCCAATATCATTGAGTTACAAGGTACTGCACAAATTACAAAGAACTAATCATGCCCATGCTACCACATCCTTCTTTTACAAACATTCAAGTACAACCCTTAATCAAGTGTAGCATATACAACTAGTAGAATTGAAATGCTTTGACAGAAAAAGCCATCAGATGTTCTGTTCTGGAATACAATCTATTACCCTCCATTTTTCCATTTCTTGCACCAAACAAATTGCTATCAAAGTTACACAGCGAGGTCTACAGAAACTTACCATCTCCATAAGGGCTTTTCAGATGCTCACTTTCATGTGGCGGGTAAGAATCTTCCACATGACGAGAACAACAAAGCCACCGACGCATCCTTGTCCTCTTCCTCAAATATAATGTCTTTAGAAGTTATATTATTGAGGCAAAGTCACAAGGAAGAGAAGCATGTGCCTATAGAGGGTTGAGAGCAAAACAAAAGGGGGGAAATGTATAAATACCAAAGAACAATGGCATTATGGATAAATAATCAATCAATCTTGGAAAATCACTAGGGAACTGAACAAATCAAGTATAATATATCCACTACCAATAATAAAAGGGATACAAACTAAGATGTATCTACTACTTATTTGACCATAATTGCTTCATAAATGTAATCTTTAATGATGAAGATTGTCTTCCGCATGTAATGGCTCTTTGGCTTTTAAAACAGGATGATCTTCACAGTTCAAACCCTAAACTTGATCTACCACCTACATCATAAAGATTTTAATATTTACAAAGAAGACACATCTTTTCTAAATTCCATGTTCATCCCTTGTCTGTGTTATCTTATAACTTTCGAACTGTTTTAATATAGAATTAAAAAATACAAAAAAGAGGGTCCACTGCCCAAAAAGTTCATACAAGAATACAATTTACTATCAACTAATCCACATTTAAACATGGTCAGGCCCAAATAGGAAATAGCTCTCTCGTGTGGCGTTTTCCATTTACGAGAACCCCCACTTGGTTTGAAAGATATCAAGTCGAACTCAACATCCACTATCAATCATATAGAATGCAGAATGAGATATGCATGCACAGAACTACCTCAAAATCTTACATTGACTAAAATCATTCATCACTTAAAGGATTCCAGATAGGGATATTGGACGAAGGAATTCACAGAAGTCGAACTTCACAATACAAAAACCTTTTTACAGAAAAAGCTGATAAAATATGAAAATTTCTCGTCAGACGTGTACAACTCAGATGAGCAATTAAATACAGGAAAACGTCATAATTAATTATCACCAAATGATGACGATGATGAGAATCTCGCCGGCCATCAAAAGGAAAAACATAAAATTGAAAACAAACTATAGATGAAACCACAAGAAAACATATTACTGGGGAAGAAAAAAATTCTTCCAAATAAACAAACAGAAGCAAAATGCCCAAAGAATATAAAAAGATTCAAAATTCACATGACTAAGCACGAAAATTAAAAAACCAACTTTAGCTTGAAGACATCAGATACCAAATGATCAAATTAAAACCAAAATATGAAACAAAAATGAAGAACAAGGTGGCAGAAATGAGAAAAAGGAATGAAATGAAAAGAGAAAAGGAATAACTGATTGGGGAACTGAATACAGCCCTAGATCCTAGCCCAAAATTTACAGAATTACGAAACAGAAATGGAAAATACCTTTCGTCCCTCGCTCCTCTCTTTCTCTCTCTAAGATTCGTTCATGCACAGTAGGTATAGGTTGATTGCAAGAAAGAATAATGACAGAAAGAGATGGATTTGAACGTTTGATTTGGGTTTGAGGCGTGAGGAAGAGAGACAAGGCAGAAACACGGAGAGCTAACTGGACAAGAGGGCATTAATAGCTGACGCGTAATAATACATAATTGGAAAACAATTATATTTTATTTTATTTTATTTTAATCTTTAATTAAATTTTATAAATTAAAACAATTAACATTATATCTTTATGAAATAATTTTTATTTATTTTTTATTTAAAATTTTAAAAATTATGTTATATTTATTAATTAATAGATAATTTCACTTTATTATATAACTTTATATCATTTTTATCATTATAAATAATTTATATTTTTATTTTTTGGATGATATATTTTACTATACAACAAATTGTGGAAATACAATGAAATTTTCATAACGAGAATTGAATGATAAATCATCGGTCACTATAACTTATATTAGGTAAAAAAAAATTAATATATAGAATATAAATATAAAATTCATTCACTATATATACGTTTGTATGCGTTTGTATTACACTAAGACAAATGTGATATGCTTTAACTTCTCTATTTTTTACTGTTGACACTTCAAGCTTAGTATGATCCCCAAATGATCAGCCAGATTTCATAAGTTTAAAGACACGGTCAAAAAGCAGTTTACTAGATATTGATCAAAAAGTTATTTCAAGAAACAAAGTAAATTAATAATTGCTTCATTTCAAAAGAGCAAGTTGTTTACATTACGAGAGATCGTTTTCAAATTTCAAATGATCTAATCACAAAAGCAAGAGCTAAAAGAAATAAGGACTTTGAACGAACTTGTTCGAGAAACTTTGACTACGATATTACATGAATAAATCTTAACAAAAATGCTGAAAATTCAGTAACTTGATTTGGACTGAAACTTGTGCTGCTGAACATATATTATGCTTTGAGACATCAAATTAAATGGTTTGGACCAAAGTACTTCCTATCAAAAGACTCATTTGAACATATATAGTGCAATTATGGCCATAATATGTTAATTACATTTTGTTTTTTTTTTCAAAAAAAGATCAATCTATATATATTAACAAAATGAAATGAAAATATTACATTACGAACGTTGTACTACTAATATTAAGGGAGGCACAAGAAAACTAGAATGGGAGACTTGTATGGGGAAAATTGAAACATTTTAGAAGCTCTAAGTCATCGTGAGCTATAACATCATATTTCTCTAATAGAGTTAATGTCTAATTTTACTTATATACTTATTTTTTAAGAATGTTACGCACTTTAAATTTTTAAATGGGACAATCTCTTGAACTGTTTTTCAGCAAAATTATCCTTCTATTAATATATAATTTATTTTTTCATTTTGTGCTTATGTGTCATGGTGGGGGCCCATTATCTTCTTACTTAATATCCAACTGTCTTTGACTTTTTAACATGATTTTTTTAATGAGATTTTTTTTTAAAAAAAAAGAACTCTATAGATGAACCTCAAATCTTGTTTGATGATGGAAAAGGAAAAACCCTTAGCTTTATAACAAGGTTAAGGTGTATTTTTGCTCTTGAAATATTTTCAGAGAAGCATCTAACATCCTAATGTTTTTGTTGGAGCAATTTTGCCTCCAAAATTATTAAAACGAAGATTTTTTTTTTCTTTCCATCAAATATTTTTAATAGTCAACATTTGATATCAACATTAAAATTTTGACAGAAAAGACAAAAATACTCTGTTTTAATAACTTTAGCGATAAAATTGTTCGAACAAAAATATTAGGATGTTAAGTGCTCCTCGAGAAATATTTTAGGGGCAAAAATGCACCTTAATCCTTGTTATAAAACTAAAAAAAAAATTTCCATCATCAAACAAGATTCTAGGTTCATCTATAGAGTTCTTTTTTAAAAAAAAATCTCATTAAAAAAATCATGTTAAAAGGTCAAAGACAAGGCAGATGTTGGATGTTAAGTAAGAAGATAATAGGCCCCCACCATAACACATAAGCACAAATGAGAAAACAAACTATATATTAATGGAAGGGCAATTGTGCTAAAAAATAATTCAAGAGATTGCTTCGCTTAAGAGCTTAAGATACCCAACAATCCTAAAAAATAAGTATAACATAAAGACTTATAGTGTAATGATATTATACCTATTAAGTTTAAAACTTTCAAAGTGTATTCAAACTTGTATGAATGTAATAATTTTTTTAAAGCTCTTCTTCGATTATCCTTCTCTTTATGTTCTTTCATCTTGAGTGTGGTATGCATATTAATGATAACTTTGATTTCTTCTTCTTCATGCTCACTCTTTTCTTTATTTTGAACAATCTTAAATGATATGTCATGAATAAAATGGTTAGTTCAATTATCAGCACGCATATATTCAAGTTACGAATGATGATACTATGAACACTCTTAAATATAAAATCAATTTAAAATAAGAAAAAATATAATAGTATAAAATAACTTTGATGAACACAAATCATTTTTTCCAATGTCATGTAATATGGACCAATATAAATAAAAATACTTTAAAGCACTCGTTCCACAGTTATGGTTAACTATTATATATATATAAATAATTAGGTATAAGTATAGTTAATCATTTATATTTGTCATCATCAAAACTAAAACTAAACATAATGTCATAAGTTATTATGTCCAACAACCTCCCCTTTTTAATGACAACAAATCACTTATGAAAAATATTCTTATTTGATAGAAAATAAGTGTTTAGCAAATCATATTTTTCATGATAACTTATTACATATTACCATTCTAATTAGAAATCAACTTGTTAACTATAAAGACTTTGAAGAATATATATACGTGTATTTAGAAAATCCTTTTGAGAAAAGATTGTTTTTATCAAAATTTCTTTCAAAATTGATCTTCTAAGAACTCTTAAAATGACTCAAAAATTTCCTTAAAAGGCACTCAACAAAGTAATATATGAAAATTATTCACATATAATCACTTTTATATATTCATTATTTTTATTGCTTTACATCTTGTGTGGCTTGTATGCCTACAATAAGTGCTTTTATTTCAATCCTAAATATGATATATTTTCATAAAAACTTTGTCATTAATCAAAATGCATCATATATATAATATCTTGCATGTGCGCGCACATATACATATATAAAAGTTATCAAATAGATCTTCATATGCCATGAGAAAAACAATTTTAATATTAAATATGTTTTCAAATTTCAAATATGCATATGCATTGGAAGAGAAAAATAACTTACTCATTTTTGTGAGTATTTACATATCATCAAGGCTTGCTTCAATATGCAAATACAATAACAATTGAATATTTGGTTGTAATACTTTGTAAATAAATTTTTTTAAACCAGCATAATCATTCTTTGATATTTTCTTTCAAAATTAAATTGGCATTCCTCAAGTTTAATAAACAATAGGCATTGTGTTTATATGGTTGTAGGCCATTTTTTTAAACACAAAATCTATTGATTATAATATTCAAGATTATAGAAAAATAATCTCTTAAACTTGATAATTTTTCATGAAACATTAGCCTTCAATGCTATGGTAGTTGAGATAATTAAATTAATAATCAAGATGCCCATCAAAATTTCACAAAGTTTATATACAAATCATTAGGTTTCAATGCTATGGTAGTTGAGATAATTAAATTAATAATCAAGATGCCCATCAAAATTTCACAAAGTTTATATACAAATCATTAGGTTTATAATATTATTCTTTCACATAATAGTTATAATAAAAACAGAGATGGCTTCTTACCATATAACAACAAAATCAACTATTATTTTTAGCCATATAATCATAAATAAATCAAATGTGGCTTTTGGCTATTTAATCATAAAATCACAAATAATATTTGGCTATATAATGACAAAATTACAAAAAGGATTTTGGCCTTTCAATAATAAAATTAAATATGACTTCTAATCATGTGATAATAAAATTAAATATAGCTTCTAGCTATATAATAATAAAGTTAAATATGACTTTTGGTCATATAATTTATCATGATCATAAATTGATCATTTATAAAATAAAATAATATGACTATTAATAATTTTATTGTAAGAGTATTAAAAAGAACAAATAAAAGGAAATAAAATATATATATATAGACACACACAAACCCCCCCACACACACATAACCATTTTGGCCAAAAAAAATTGTGTCTATAATAAATATAAACAAGAAGGAAATATCAACGGATAATGTATCTATTGCAATTTTGTAAACGTTGCTTTATATTATGTGTATATATATATATATATATATATATATGAAATTACGGAGAATTGTTAACAAAAAAAAAAAAAAAAAACGGAGAACAACACGACCCACATGGATATAAATAAGACGTTGGTAATCTCAAATTATACAATGATAGATAGGAAATTGAGATATGATTATCACAGATAAAGTAAATAAATTGAGATATACTAGTTACGATTCTTGATCAGTTATAAAATTTTTGAATAAATAAAAATAATATTTAAATATAGATATTTTTATGATTTACTTTTTTAAAAATTATATATGTAGATAGATAAATAAATTATATGTGTAAATAATAAATTAAAAAGAAGAAATTGAATGCACATATGATAAATAAATAATTGAATATAGATATCTTCAGAATTTATATTATATTATGTAGATATATAATTTTAAGATCCAGTTTTAAGTTTTGTGAATATTTTTAGAATTTATTTTATATTTTATTTGGATAACTTTAGTATTCATAATAATAAATAAATAACTTTATGATTTACTTTATATTCTATGTGAATATCTTTGAAATTCACCTTATATTTTTTATATGAATAACTTTATGATTCTCTGCAATGTGATAGAGATTTATTTAGTATTCAACGAAGCATACCTCCATCTTTATTAAAGGTTCATGGCATGAGTGTTAATATCTAATCTAATAATTATAAGGTTACTTATATAGTGATGTTAAATTAAGAAAAGGAGAGAAGAGAAAAAATTATATTAAAAGAATAATAGAATAGAGAATTTTATTATTTTAATGTGTAAAATATAATTGATGTATTTTCTACTTATAAACATAAATATATTAATTAAAATAAATAAAATATATAAGATAATAATAATTAAAAAATATTATAATAATAAAAAAGTTAAAGAATGTAAAATAATTGACAGTTACGTAATATCTTAATATTTACAACAAATTCTCCAAATTTAGAAGATCTGGACTGTCTATTAAATATTGAATTGATCGAAGGACACTGATAATTTAATAAATTTATAAAATTGGGATTTATAATATAAAATTCTTCTTCTTTCTGCTTCGGGAATCCTCAAATTTTGTTAAGCAAGGCCGAAGAGAGCAAAGAAGTCGATTGTGTTTTGTTCCTTTCCTTCCCATCGTCGGAAACAGATCGTAGGTAGCAGAGAGCCAGAGATCGCCGTTTTGACGCAACAGATCTACTATCAGTCACCTTGGTTCTCTTCATTTCGGTAAAATTTTCTTCTGTTGCTTTGATTCAATTCCAATCAAGGTTTGGGATTTTCTTGAATTGATGTGTTTCTATATATATGTAGTTGTTGTGAATCCGTATTGGAACATTGGGGTTGTTCAATGGGAGCTTTGATTTTGTGAATCCGTATTTAAACCCTGAAAATTTTATACCACCATTCAACAATTTCTTCCTCCAAAGACCTAAATTAGCACCAACAGAGATGAAGGTTGTTGGACTGTGAAATTTCTTTCTCTGAATTAACCTAGGGCCAAGAGAGAGGACATATTTTTGGACGTTAGCAAAAAACTGACCTTCGAACATCCAAGAAATGGAAAGCGAGATATAATACTGTTTCTTTCTTGCCAGCAGCGGCTTCCGCTCGATCTCTGGTTTTCGCTTCGGATGCTGTAAGTTTATTGTTACACGCATCCTATTCATGAATCAATCAATCCAGAATCGGACGGGACTCATGGGACCTCATTTTTCTCTTCAAGGATTCATGCAGTCTCGATTTCTAAGTATGCATTTTTTTTACTTCCTAACTCGGAGTTTAATGGTCTCATATAGATTATCTTTGACACCGAAGACACGACACAACTGTGATTTGGCTTAAAATTAGTCCCAGTCGTCTTCACCTTCAACATTTGAAGCTCATATTCTCCGTTTTCTTGTTCATGCATTCTGAAAATCAAGGAAAATTGCATCCATTAAGACAGCAAGATCGTGAATTTATTAAGGAAAATGAGTAGGAGGCTGGTTTTAAAGCATTCATTTGCTCTTGTGGGCATGCTAGTGTGTGTTAGTTGCCTTTTGATTGTGATCGGTACTGTTCTTAAGCTTCCAGAGGCGTCACCTAAAAATAGGGAAATGGGGATTTACCATCCAGCATTCAAATCCAGGAAAGTGCCTCAGAATTTCAAATTAGGTAAATTTGGAGAAATGATGGTTGAAATGTTGCCTCAAGATCTTGCCTTTACAATTTTTATTCCTTCAGAGGAAGCTTTCAAGCGTGATTTACATTTATCTGTGAATGACAGCTTGGTACCGGAGAAATTTAACGATACCTATGCAATTCTCACTCGCATAATGGGATTTTCAGCTGTCCCTCGGGAGCTATCTTCAGTTGATTTGGCTTTTGATGAGCTAGTGTCCTATGATTCTCTATCAGGGTTCCAATTATACATTGCGAAAGCCAAAGATAGAATGCTAGTTGTGAACAGGATTCGATCGGAAATAATGGATGTTAGGAAAAGGAAGATTGTTGTGCATATTATGAACGGTGTTATTATGGATTCTGATTTTGAGCAATCTGTTATATCTGATGATACTGAGGAATGAAGAGGGTTGAGTGTTTGTTGCTTTGGATCTATACTTGTCCAACTAAGCCTACCATAAATAAGGTTAATTCAATTTGAGCATTGAACATACACTCAATTCGTGGAATGGTGGCTTCTAATCTCCTTTGAGTCTGAGTTGAGTGATCTCCTTTGTCTGATTCAGAGTGATCTCATTTGAGTTCGTCTTTGTCTCTTCAACTTTGCATGTGGGCTCGCGTGGCCTTTTCACTTGAACTTATAGTTCATCTTCGACTTTGCACTTCCAGACTTCACACTTCCAGGTATTATTATCAAATCTCAGCGCTTGAATGCTTAGTTTACTGCAAGTCTCCTGGCTGGTTATACTGAATGCTTAGTTTGAAATTTGATTATAGTTAGTTTGATGACTAACCTGCATACTCTGCCTACTGGCTGGTTATACTGAATAATTAAAAATATGTAGTTGTATTGAATCTCTTCGCTGAACTCTGGCTTGTTGATGTCGAATTCATGAATTGAATCTGTTTTATCTGGTAGGATTAATTATATTTTTTAGGATGGCTTCTGCTAGTGGTAAAGATAATCAAACTAGTTATATTTTCTCATTTACTGTCTATATCTTAATTTTTAAATTAATATCTTTCGTTTTATTTTTTGCTTGTGGTAGATGAAGTTGCGGAAAAGCTTCTCAAATCAATTTTATTGCAGAAAACATATTGCTCCCAACATCATTATTGATTAGGATAATCTACTTTGTATGAAGATCCTTTAAATGTCTGTTGAGTAAATTTTCTCTGAAGTTAGAAGATCTGAATCGTTTATTGATTGAAGGGCACAGATGATGCCATGCAATTAAAAAAATTGGGATTTATAAAATTTCTTCTCATCCTGATCTAAAAATTCTTGTGTGTTTAAAAAATAAAATGCTGAACTTATCATGGAACTCAATAGTCAAAGCTTTATATTCAGTATATATACGTACGTACGTACATACATACATCACAACTTGGAGGTTGAAGCAATCAACAAATTCAAGCATGTGCTTTTTTTGTGGGTTCATCGATTGTTATATTCAGTATCCTTGACATAAAACCGAGCGACCTCAGAGTAATCGGCCACGGAACAGTTAGTGTGGGATCCAACGATTTGAGGACCTTGAATCTTTTTGGCAGGGAGATGTTAGTGCGTGTGTGTGTATTCACAACACTAACCATGAGAGCCTCAGCAAAATTCCTTGGACTGCGAATGGATTAAAAATTTCTATCATCAGTTCCGTTAAAGGTTAAATGACAGCTTTTCAAGGAACTTGTGTGTGTGTGTGTGTGTGTTTAGAGAGAGAGAGAGAGTGTGTGTGTGTGTGTGTTAAAATACAGTTCAATAGTCTAAATGAATCAGTTGCATTGGTTCGATGTGATTTTGACACTCCAAGGACCTAGACCCACTCGTACAAATCATCGCATTCCATGAATTATGCATACATCGTCGGAGTCAATTAACATTCCTAATTCTCAACCAATCATTTACACTCATTGTCACATTCATCTATTCCAGTCAATATATTTTCTGGCCTCAACACAAGCACTCATCGTCGCATTCATCTATTCCAGTCAATATATTTTCTAGCCTCAACGTAAGCCCTCACGAGCTCAATTCCCAAAATGGGTAGATGTGTATACATCCAATCATAATCTAAAATACATGTAAAATACGTAACTGTCCCCTAGTTGGCAATATTTACTAATCCTCCACACAATATGCATATAGTTATAATTAATGGCTACCCTCGAGTTCTTTCCCTTGCTGCTTACCAAATCTTCATCGGAAAATAATACGGCTATATGCTGGAATTACATCAAACTCCTGTTAGAAAGAATGGTGAACATGGCTGTTATGTAACACTGGAGCCACTCTCAAGTGTTGACAATGCTATGTTGTTTATTTTTACCACTTTCTTCTTCTAGGATAAACTCCCACCAATTTCATTTTAAGATTATGCCATCATGTTCACATATCCAATCACACGTGTGCACACAGAGAGAGAGAGAGAGAGATGTTTATATATATATATATATATATATATATGTATTCACATTGCCATTAAAATCATGCTTTTCAATCATTATACTCATTGATTTCACAAACAAATGTATATTTGTCAAATCACATTTTATATTCCCCAAATCATTCACGTAGTGGTTACAACATTTTTTCTAAAACATAAAAATAGTATTTTTCATCCATATATTAACATATATTTCATATTTTCACATAACTGAAAATGTTTAGAAAAGCATATGAGGGAATTTAAATTTCTTGTTACCTCCATTGCTTGACTTATCAAAAGGGGCACTAATTGTCAATCCACTAACCATAATCATAATTTCCCTCCCACCCAACTCACTCAAAAATCCTGAAAATTCATTTTTACTATATAAATTTGATTTATTCGTTGGTTTTGTTAACCTCATCAGACTTCAATGATGCCTAACTAAACCCATTTTACAATCACTTAACCTTCACATTATCAATTTCCTAGATAGAGTTTGGTCAATCAACAAACCTAGACACATTATTATTCTAAAATCCTAACCATAGGTTAAAAACTTAAACAACATATTTGGGGAATTGAGGTCTCATAGCTCTTAGGGACATTCTCTCTATTACTTTCATAGCTCCTACAAATATCAACATATGCTGTGATAATTGAGGTCTTTATTTTGTTCTGTATTGCCTTATTTCTATGTCTCATGAAGAGATGTAGTACAAAAATTTTCTTCTCGAACAGTCATTCATCAAGAAATGTGATGTCTTTGAATTCAAATTCATTCACAATTACAACTTTGTTTTCACTTATGAAAACATAACCCTTTGATTGCATAGAGTATTTAATAAAGATAAATTTCTTCCCTTATGAAATTTGTTTTCCATATTGGTTGGAATTATCATGAACATATGCTGCTAACACATAATCTGAGGATACTCACATTTGATTTGCATTTTTTTTTTCAAAACATAAAAGATGTGGATGTGACTAACTTTGAGGCCACATGGTTGAGTCTAACAGCGGCTATTAGTAAGCCATTATTGATTTAACCATGTCATAAGTATTTTATTTTAGCGACTTCACACTATTGTAAAGTGCCTGGGATATTTAACAACTTAATTATCCCTATTTTTTTTTCCACAAAGCTATTTCCTTTGATTAAACAAATATTCATGACCTCAATCAGTTAGCAAACATTCTAAAAGTTTAACTATTTGATCGTTTGATTTTGTACCTCACTTAGGTACCATCTAAAGCACCTAAAAGATTCAGCTTTGTGAAATCACGTATACATGACCATATCACAAATAATTATTGGTTAATTACCAAACTTGTGATTTGCCCTCACACTCATACATCACATAAACTAAAATGGAAGAATTATAATCAATACTTACTTTAGTTCCCTTATCTGAAAGGTTTTCTCGTTGCTTTATTAGCTAGATAGTTCTTGCATAAGGACATTTTCATATTAGAAATTAAGCCTAGCATTTCTGATTTAGCTAGTTATACTCATTATTTTCTAATTTACATGTCTTAGTCTAACATGTCAATTACTTACATTAATATTAGAGTTAAAACGATCATAAAGACATTATAGAGAGTTTTGATCTTTTTCACCATGCAAAGAAAATTCCTAGATTTTTGCTTTGTTGCCAATATAAAGTCACTTGCTTTTAATTTAGTAACCTACAGTACTCTGTGAGGGATTCTCAATCTCTGTTCATTTTTGTCATTGGGGCTTGAGTCTACAATTCAAGAAGAATAAACATATTCTATTAGAAAAATAGTATTAATCACATTTGAAAATATGTGAATTGCCTCAATTCACTAGTACCTTATCTTGCCTATTTTTCTCAAGACAATTCTTTGCAAAGGCCCATTTTCTGGCAGGTGTAGCATTTGACTAGCTTAGGTCAGCTTTCTTCTTGCCTTTTTTCTTGAATGACTTCTTATCATGCTTGAAATTTGAGCAATTCTTCTTATCCTTCTTATGAAATTTCTTGCCCTTGTGGAACTCAAGATGGGTGTTGAAAGGATTGACTTCCTTAATTAGTTATACATGCTTGTTTAGAGGATTTATAAACCTCAAGACATTTGTCTCCAAACTCCAAATGCTTTGCTACATTGTCAAAAGTGACTATGTTCTTCTTATGAGTCAAATTTACTTCCACTTGTACCTAGCAAGAAGGGAGAGGTTTTATAACAGCCTAAACTTACCATTCATTGGAAAATACATGCTTTGTTTTATAACCAATAGTTTAGGATACTGAGTGTTCTTTAGAGAATACTTTAGATGCAAAAATACACATTTACCCAACAAAGAAAGAAATAGACATGGGTGATTTTGATATCTTTTCCTATCCTTGAGAGGAAAAAAATAACAACCCAAATGTAAATATATTCAAATGGAAAAATGGCAACAATAAGTATTCGTATACTTTAGTTAAAAATTTACATGAAAAAAAACTTGAAAACCATTATTTAAATAAAATAAAAGTAGATAATCCTATCAAACAATTAATGACAAGCATTTACTTTCATACCTTATGGTATGTAGTTGATTTGATTTTTGTCTTTTAACATCAAACCCTCTAAGCAGTGGTGCTATTGTCGTCACTTTTGTCATTTATCTACATCAAATTTCATGGACAATTTCTTGCAAGAAGCCAGAGAAAATAAAATTTGATATGAAAATTGATTTGCGAGTCTGTTGCTCAATATATCTCGGCTAATTTTATACGTGAATGATTAGGTTTGGTAGAGAAAGCAATTGATGACCAAAACAATGAACTATCAAAATAATGTGCTCTCAAACCATGTGCTTTGAGAATTTTAAAACGATGAGCTCTCAAATCTTGGGCTTTGAGAATTTCATCGAACGACTCAAAATTTTTATGATGGATGGTCTTGTTTCATTGATATGTCATTTACATAAATAAATAGAATTAAATGTACAATTTCATTATACTTGAGGATTTTGTCCCAAGCTTAGAGATGATATGTAAAGTACATGTATTTGTTATATTTCTTAAATGATTAGGAAAGTATTAGATAATAATTAAAGTTATTGTTAGCATTAGTTTCTAACTAATTTTATAACTTTCTGTAACATCTTAGCTTACTATGCATGCTTTTGTCTTATGCGCGCGCGCGCGTACTTTTGTACTTTATGGAAGTAATATCAATTAGATCATTCATACACTTTTGTCTTCTTCCTTCTCTCTGTTTACTTTTCCCTGAATCACTTTAAGGTATCAGAGCAACTCTGATCTCTGACCCATGTCGACATCTTCTCAGTCTATCACTTTTGCTGGTTCGTCTGGTTCTCTCAAGAAGGATGTTGTCACATTACTCATCTCGTCTCCGTCAAACTTGGCGAGAGCAACTAGTTGATCTGGAAACACCAAATTGTTTATGCTATATGAGGTCATGAACTTGAGAAGTTATATTAACAGATCAGCATAGCAACCAGTCAAATAACTGGTGAGCGATAATGCGGATGGATTCACTGTTAATCTTGAGTTTCATCTTTGGCAAAAACTGTTAACTCTGTACATCTCAAGTCAAATGAATAAATAAAGTAATGTATGCGTACCTTAAGAATTCATAAGCGCTTGAGAAATCTCGATTATCTCAAGTGTAGATAGGTGCACAACCCACAGGTCTCCAGAGTTTTCAAAGAATTCAGAGATTATAGAGTAGAAGAAAAAAAAATTGAGTCGTGTATTTTCAGTTATCGACTAATCAACTTATATTGATCAGATTTGTAATCGCCTTATTAAATAATTAAATAATTATATTATCTATTATCTCTGACTCAGTCAGTTAAAGAGATAGGAAATAACCGACGGCTACTGTGTTGTGGGTTGGGTCTCTATTCATTGGGCTTACTTATGTGGTCTACTTATCACGATCCACACAAGATCATAAGGACTAATTTGCTTGGGCTCATTAATTAATGTTGATTATAATAAAATTCCAACAATCTCCCACCTGGATTGTATTAATTAAGTAAGTTGTATAAATAAACCACAAACAAAATTTAGAAAATAAAACTCCACAAAATCACTGGATCCTATGGGAAAAATAAGTGATATGATGTCTCATAATCTGAATAAAATATGAAATTTTATTTCAAATACAGCTCAGTAAGATAACAACATAAATCACTAATTCCTATGGGGAAACAAGTGACATGCATAGCGTATCACAATAAGATCATTGAATCTATGAGGATACAAATGATATAGATGTATCTAACTAAACTGAACATAACTCAAAGAAGAAAACAAAAGCCCAAAGAGAAATTGTAACATAAAGGGTTTTCAAACTCCTACTAAACCAGGACATCAAAAGAATTCACAATACTCATACAAGTTACATGATTTTGAAAAACTTTTACAGGTAAGCCCTTAGTAAATGGATCTGCAAACATCTGTGTGCCAGTAATGTGTACCACACAAGTTTGAGACTTAACAATTTTTTTTCACAAACATAAGTTTGATATCAAAATGCTTTGTACGACTGGATTTTCTGTGATTATTAGCATAGTATATTGTAGATTTGTTATCACAGTAAATGGTTAGAGGACGTGATATTGACTCAACTAGGCGCATGCCAGATATCAACTTCCTCAGCCATATAGTGTGACGAGTAGTCTCAAAACAAGCAATATACTCAGCTTCTATAGATGAAACTGTTGTAAGTGTCTGTTTCACACTTTTTCAAGAGACAATTCCTCCAGACAAAATGAAAATGTAGCCGGTTGTGGATTTACAATCATCTAGACAAGAGGCAAAATCTGAAACTGAAAAGCCAATAATTTCAAGATCTTCTGATCCCTTAAAGTCATAATTAGAATACCCAATAACCTCAAGAGAATTTGACCTTTTGTGAGTCAACATATAATTCTTCGTACCCTGAAGATACCTCATAACTTTCTTAGCAGCCTTCCAATGATCCGGACCTGAATTATTTAAATATCGACCCAGCACTCCAATAGCAAAGGCTATATCTGGTCGAGTACACACTTGAACATATATAAGGCTGCCAACAGTGGAAGCGCATGGTATCTTTTTCATTTTAGCCCTCTTCTTATCATCCTTGGGACATTGTAACTTTGACAACAACTCACCTTTCTGTACAGGAGTAGGTGAGGAAAAACATGAATCCATTTTGAATCTCTTAAGTACTTGCTCAATATAAGTGGTCTGTGATAAACCAAGAATACCACAAGATCTATCACGATGAATCTGTATCCCAAGAATGAAGGAGGCTTCACCCATGTCCTTTATATCAAAATGGCAAGATAATAGGTGCTTTATCTCATTGAGGAAATTTATTGAATTGTTGGATAACAAGATATCATCAATATAGAGAACAAGAATGGCAAAATTGTTCCCCTCAAACTTCTGATAGATACACTGATTTGAGACATTCTTAACAAAACTGAGCGAGGTGATAACTTCATCAAACTTCAGATACCACTGCCTAGAGGCCTGTTTTAGCCCATAGATGGATTTCTTCAATCTGCACACTAGATGTTCTTTACTAGATTCAACAAAACCATCAGGTTGTGTCATGTAGACCTCTTCATATAAATCACCATTCAAGAATGTAGTCTTGACATTCATTTGGTAAAGATCAAGATCAAACTGTGCAACTAAAGCCATTACCACTTTAAAGGCATCTTTGGTGGATACTGGAGAGAAGGTCTCTGTGTAATTAATACCTTCTTTCTGGTTGTAGCCTTTAGCTACAAGTCTGGCTTTGTATCTATCAATTTCACCTCTACCTCCTCATTTTGTTTTAAAGACCTACTTGTAACCTACTGGTTTAAAACACTTTAGTAGCTCTACAAGCTCCTATACATGATTGCGGTACATCGAGGTGATTTTTTTACTCACAGCCTTTAGCCATTTAGAAGAATGGAGCTAAAAATAGCCTCTTGGTAAGATATTGGGTCTAAAATATCAATAGCATTTGAATCAAATTCCTATAGAAACACCATGTAATCATCTAGAATAGCAGACCTATGAACCCTTTGGGACCATCTTGGTTTAACAACCGGATCCCTATTACCCTCTAAAGGTGGTTCATCTCGAGCTTCATCCTAATTCACGACATTATTTCTGTCAACATAAGGGGTTGTCAAGATAGGCATAGGCAAAATACTGCTTTCGTCATGCAAAGTAATATGCCTAGGTATAGAGCTCCCACTGTCTAAGGCATCTTAAAGAAATAAGCTCAGTCAGATTCAATTACCCTAGTAGTGTGATTTGGACAATAGAATCTGTACCCACAAGATCCGATGCAATAGCCAATAAAGAAACCATCAATAGTTTTAACATCAAGCTTCATCTGTTGTGAATTGTAAGGTTTTACTTATGCTTTACAAACCTAAACTCGCATATGCTTCAGTGCAAGAGTCCTTCTAAAATACAACTCGTATGAAGTCTTTAGAATTGACTTGCTAGGAACTTGATTCAAAATATAAACAGAAGTTTTAAGTGCATCACCCCACAAGAATTCCGACAGTGAGGAGTGACTAATCATGCTTCTAACTATATCCATGAGAGTATGATTTCGCCTTTCTGCAACCCCATTTTGCTGCGGGGTGCCAAGCATAGTATACTGAGCTTCAATGCCATGCTCTTGAAGGTACAAAGCAAATGACCCAGGGTTCCTACCAGTTTCAGTATATCTCCCACAAAATTCTCCTCCTCTATCAGATCTCACACATTTGATCAACTTGCTAGATTTCAATTCGACTGCTGCTTTAAAGGTCTTGAATGCATTAAGAGACTCGCCCTTTTCACGCAAGAGTTCAATCCATCCATGACGAGAGTAATTATATGTGAAGGTGATGAAATATCTGAAACTACCTATAGTCGGAGGTGTTATAAGTCCACAGATATCAGTATGGATTAGGTCTAAAGTGTTTTTAGACCTCTTTGCCCCTTTGATTCTAGCTCTAGTAGGAATTTTCCCTTATGCAATCAACACAAATCTCAAAATCTGAGAAATCAAGGTTTTATAAGACACCTTGCTTGGCTATGCGCTCCAATCTTTCTCTAGAGATATGACCTAAACGACGATGCCATAACATGGAGGAATTATCATTAGGCCTTTAACGTTTATGCCCAATGGCAGCACTGATATGGAGATTAGGAAATTCAAGTGACCAAATTATTCAATGATATAAATCGTATATCAAGGAAGTGAAACCAACATTAATAGAATCAAAACAAATGTCAATTTTCTCATTTTCTTGGAAGAATGAATAGCCACAAATATCCAATGCAGAAGTTAAAATTAAGTTCCTCTTCGCAGAAGGTACATAAACAACATTGTTCAAATGTAAAACATGACCAGAATTTAAATACAAAGAAATAGTTTTAATGCATTTAATTGATACCTTGCTCCCTGCTATACCAAAGACTGACTTCTGTGCCTCACTTGAAACCTTTCAGTTTCTTAGCCCCTGTAGAAAATTCACAACATGTACAGTGGCACCAGAATCCAGCCACCATAAGTCAAAGGAAGTTTCAATGGTGTTAGATTCAAAACAAACTAGAGCTAGAGGAGTAGTTTGAAGAATTTTACCTTCACTTTCTTGTTTGTTTTTCAATTTGAAGCAATTAGCTTTAATGTGACCCGATTTCTTGCAATAATTGCATAACCCCTTAAAGGGTTTCTTCCTTGACTTCTCACTCTTATCACCATCTTCTTAAAAGTTGGATTATTAGGCTTAGGGGCCTCATGCTTCTTCTTCTTTTTCTTATATAACCCTCTAGATTTGCTGTTAGAACCATGAGAAACATAGTTTATTGAGTGAGAGGAATTCTTCTTTATAACTTTCTCTTCTTGAATGACTATTGATATCATCTGGTTAATAGACCATTCAGCTTCTTGTGAGTTGTATGAGGCCCTCAAGAATGCATACTCTGATGGCAGTGATTGAAAAACACGGTAAATCAATGTACTTTCACCCAAATCAATCCCATATAATTTAAGTTTGTTATAATAATGAACAAGCTTCAAAATGTGCTCCCTAACACCAGAAACTCCGTCATATCGAGTATTGTCAAGAAGTGACAAATAGTAGTTCTTTTGAGTCTTGTCAAGCTTCTTGTGTTTGTTACTAATAGCTTTCAAGTACTCCACCGCAGTATCCTTTTTAGGAATGCTGTCCTAATTTTCTTTTCAATTGTGTACTTGATGATTGCTAGACAGATCCGGTTGGACTCACTCTATTGCTTATGGAATGCCATTTCAGAAGTACTGGACTCAGAAGAGAGATCTGCAGGCTTGGGCTCTCTCAAGTTAAATCTTTCTTAGAGATGGTCAGATACATATTTAGAGATTCTTTTCAGTCATCATAGTTAGTCCCATTGAGAGCCTTCATAAAGGATAGTTGCATAAAAGCAGAAACTGAAATTGCAAAATAGAAAATGGGAAATATTAATTATGTGTGCATAACATAATTATAAAACAGAATTCCCCAGCAAGCGATTATCAATTATGCAACTATAATCATGCACCAAGAAGGCTCAAATACCATAAAGATTTAGCTCATACAAAAGTTCATACAAAATAATGCATTAAACATTTCCATACCTATAGGGTACAACAAATATCTAACACATTAAAGGAGAGCTATTAGCCTATCCTCAAAACCAACCATCAAAAAATCACATTAATAATGTCACACTTATAAGGTATGTCTATTATCAATGCTACAAGATCCAAAGCATCATCAATAATTCACAAAGTCACAAATTTTATGACCTTAGGACAAAACAAAATAATTTCAAAAGTTCTTGGGGTCTTTTGGGAATTAGGGAACAAATTTAGCACTTAAATGAAATTTTGAAAGGTAATCAGGGGCTAATAAGTAATTTTGAAAGAGATTTAGGTCAAAATTGCAATTCTGAAAGTTAAGGGACTTATTTATAATTTCTAAAAATTTCATGGGGTCATAGAGTAAATTCAAGACATTATGGGCCAAAGGAGGTAATTTAAACTGAGGTCGAAACGCAATTAACTGAAAAAATAATTTTTTTTGGTTGCTAATGCGCCGTTTGCTTGTCAGAAATCCATACTCAAGCGTTTTCTCCGTTTGCTCGTTGGAAATCAACGCTCCACGTATTAACTTTGTATATCTCAATTCAAATAAATAAGTAAATTAATGTATGCATACCTAAAGAATCCATGAGCGCTTGAGAAATCTCAATTACCTTGAGTGTAGACAGGTGCACAACCCACAGGTCCCTAGAGCCTTTAGAGAGTTCAGAGATAATAGAGTAGAAGAAAAAAATGAGTCGTGTGTTTTCGGTTATCAACTGATCGACTTATATTGATCAGATTTCTAATTGCCTTATTAAATAATTAAATAATTATATTATCTATTATCTTTGACTCAGTCAGTTAAAGAGATAGGAAATAATTGACGGCTACTGGATTGTCGGTTGGGCCTCTACCCATTGGGCTCACTTGTGTGGTCCACCTATCACAGTCCACACAAGATCATAAGGACCAATTTGCTTGAATTCATTAATTAATGTTAATCCATAATAAAATTCCAACAAAAATAGGATCAATTGCTTATATCCTGGATGTTTTGCTCTATGATCGATGGTCTCCTTACTAGAGTTGTCAAATGCGAGACATCATTACAGATCTAGGAGCACATTCAGCATCACTTCCCTTCTCAGATTTGAGCTAAGGCGCATCAATTGAAGGCACAACTCAAAGGTACCAAGAAAGGAAATCTTTCTGCAAATGAATACCTCTTAAAGATTAATTGAATTACTAACTTACTTGCTACAATCGGATAACCAATTTCTGACTTTATCTTTAAAGGTCTACCTAAAGAATATGATTCACTTTGACCTCTATAGTTGATACTCTTAACCATTGGTTGCTTACAACAATGTAGGCCAAAGTTGTTGGGTTTGAATTTGTTAAATAGCTGTACCAGGATGATCTTGATTTTTGAGGAGTATGAGAAGTAACTGTAAATCAATCTTTTAACTAGTTCTACAAACATGACAGGTTTCTATTTCAAGGCAAAAACCCTATGCATTCCACAAGGTTCTTTAAGAGAGGCCATAATTTGAGAAGCACATGACGATAGATTAGTCGGACATTTTTGATAAGATAAAATAGTTGACCTAGTGAAGGAAAATTTTTACTGGCCTCGACTTCAACAGGATGTAAACAATCATATATAAAAATGCAAAATTTGCCACTTGGCCAAGTCTAAAGGTTAGAATACTTGGTTATACATGCCTTTGCCAAGTCCAAAAGCACCTTAAGAAGATGGGAGCATAGATTTGTTCTAGGTTTACCATGGACTTAGAGGCAATGATGTTTATAAAAAATGGCCCATTTCATTCCATGCCAGAGGACTAATGATGTTTTTTCAAGTAGCAGATTTGTACTTTAAAGAGATTGTTCATCTTTATGGCATTCCCAAGACTATCACTTTTAATGATGATGTGAAGTTTCTCAGCCACTTTTGGCAGAAGCTATGGAAGAAGATGGAAAATAAGCTTCAATTTAGTAATGCTAGTCATCCCTAGACGGACGGTCAAACTAAAGCTATAAATAAGGTTCTTAGCAATCTTCTTTGCAGTTTCATGGGGAAGAATTTGAAGCAGTGAGATCTCATTTTTTCTCAAGTTGAATTTGTCTACAATAACTCTGTCAACCAAGCAATTGGGAAGGGCTTGTTTGAAGTTGTTTATGGTACTCGTCCCCTTAGTCCATTAGACTTGACCTTTTTACTTGATAAGCAGTAATATAGTTTTGATGTTGATTAAAGGGCTAAGGAAATCAAGAAGTTGCATGAACAAGTTTGTACACAAATACAAAAGTAGAACTTGAGATACAAGACTCAACGTGACAAGCATCGAAAGTATCAAACTTTTAATGTGGGAGGCTTGATTTGGATACATATGCAAAAGGAAAAATTTCCTAAACAACTAAACACCAAGCTATCTTCAAGCGCTGATAGTCCATTCAAGACTGTGTAAAAGATCAACAACAATGCTTATAAGGTGAAATTGCTTGGTTCTTATGGAGTGTCTGCCACCTTCAATGTTGCTGATCTATCTCCTTACATTGATGATGATGTTGAGTTTAACTCGAGGGCGAGTTCCATTAAACTCGAGGAGGATGAAATGGATGAAACGGAAGCCAGAGCAGCCATGCTGGAAATGAAGGTTTAGAAATGTCCCAAGTTAATAACATTCAAAACCCAGTTATAACGTGTGTAACCTTTGTTCTATGTTTTTTGTTTTCATTTGCCCATATGACAATGTAAGTATAGCCTTGTTTCAATGTAAGGACAGAAAATCTTCAAAGAATAAAACGAGAGTTCTTTCATTCAGTTTCTAAGCCATTTCTTCTTTTCTATCCTATATATATTAATTAAAACTCTTTGATACTTGAGTGCTAAAGAAGATATATGAGTCCATGGATAATCTAAAGTGATAATTAAAATAAAGTAACAAGAAGAGAAACAATTAAAGAGAAAATTGGTGTATACTTATTCTTTTCTATATAGGGTAAAAGAGCAAATTGACCCATAAACTATAGATTTAGGGACATCTAGGATTCTAAACTCATTTTTTGTACAATATTTCTTTCAACTTTTAAAAATGGTACAATTTAGACTCTGCAGTTAACAAAAGTTAAACTTGATTGTTAGTTGATCAAAAAATAATTGAAAAAGACCTTAAAAATTACAAAGGATCAATAAAATTTTCTTGGACTTTATTATCAAAAATATTTTCTTGGTACTTTTTTGTAATTTTTGGATCCTTTAATGTCATTTTTGGTCCTTTTCTGTAACTTTTATATTCTTTTTTTTAATCAAATTTTTAACTAATGATCAAAGTTAACTTTTGTTAACGATAATGGTTAGATTGCACCATTTCCAAAAGCTAAAGGGGAACAATGCATAAAAAATTTTAGGATCTCTGACTTTTTCTGAACTAGAACTACAGTTTAGGGGTAAATTTATTCTTTTACTCTTTTACACACACACCCCCCTTCAGATAAAGCCATCTGGGAGACTTAGGAAGAAAGAGAATGAGAACAAGCTGAAAGAGAGCAGATGAACCTGCAAGTCCAAGCATCCAGCTCCATGTCCCAGGAACCTGCATGTGTGGAATGATTAGAAATTACCAATTAAAGAGAGTACTTAGTATCATGTCACAATTAAAATTGAAATAAAGTAAATTATAAAGAATTAAATTTCGTGAATTTTGTCTTCTCAATTTTCAAAACCAATATGAACTTTTTATTTTGTCATTTCACTTAAGTACATGCTCTGCATTTCTATTTTCAAATGTAAGCTCAAATTTCTTCGAAAACAAAATTGTATAAATTTTCTTTATATTTTGTTGAAATGGCAAAAACTTTTCCTTCTATTTTTAAAGCGGCACAAGCCTCCCATGAAAATAGAATGACAGTTTACTTGTGTGTTTTAATTTCATTTTTAAAGGAAAATTAAGAGATATTTATATAATTTTTTTGGTAATAAAATATTCATATAATATATTGCTAAGTTCAGAGTGACATTTATATCATCAATCTTGAAGATAGAAGAAAGGGTTAAGTGAGTAATTGATAAAATTTCTAAAGTTTTAAAATAACACACAAGCCTTCATTGAAAGTAGAAAACCATCTTGTGTAATCTAGAAAACTTTAGAGGACATTTGTGTAATACATTCTTCATTTGCAAGAAAACTCAAGTTGCACATAAAAATATAATTGACATTTATACAATTTAGCAAATTTCAACAGAGATCATTCTAATTTATGTTTAAGTTTTAAAAAAGAAGGAATTTAATCATTTGGTCCCTATAATTTTGATTTAATTGTTATAACTCAATCCTTATAGTTTTGACTAGATTGTAACTCAAATTTTAAACTTTAACTTGTTGCAACTCATTTCCAATAGTTTTAACCATTTAAAATAGGGTTAAAAAATATCCTAAATCCTAAACTATTGTGCAAATAATATCTTGAAATTTGAACTCCTAAAATGTGTAAAAATTCTTTTCAACTTCTAAATTCCAAACGCCTGAGACCTTGCTGTTAAGTTAGAAAAAATGACTGCTATTTTTAAGGGTCAAGATGAGTGCTACATTAGTGTACAATTAAGTCCCTAACAGTAGGTTTCATACACTTAGAATTTAAAAGTTGAGGGGAGTTTTTGTATATTTTAGGAGTTTAGGGGGTAGGATACTATTTCTACATTAGTTTAGGATTTAGGATGCTCATTAACCCTTAAAAATAATAGTCCATAAAGTTAAGGGTCTGACTTACATTCGAGTCAAAATTAGAGATTAAGTTGCATTAAGTTATATAAAATTAAAAGGATTGAGTTATAATCAAATCAAAACTATAAGACTAAATGATTAATTTTCTCTTTACAGATAATTTCAACAAAACTAAAGGAAAATCCTTATAATCAAATATTCTAACAATAAGCATAGCAGATTAATTACCTCTGTTAGGGCATATTTGATGAGATAAGAAAGGAACTGTCCACTGGTAATCAAGAGGACATTGGCACTAGCTAACCCTGCTCGGACTTCAGAAGGAGAAACTTCAACAATGTAGACAGGAACTGTTACAGAGGCAGCACCAACATTAAGTCGCACCAAAAAGCGTCCAAACATGATCACACAAGGGATTGGTGCTAAAGCCATCACCAATGATCCTATCATGAAGTTGCATTCAGCCATCAACGTCGCCTTCTTCCTCCCCCACCCGTCATTTACTACACCTCCCACAATCAACCCATAGATAGCTCCGATCAATGCCGTGCCGGCAATTAATTCCTATAAAAATGACACAATTAGTGATTTATTTGAGACATGATTAGGCATTAAATATAGGCATTTCTTTCAATAAGAATTTGAATATTGATTTACTAGATTGTGAGGGATTAGCCTCTTCATTAGACCCAATCCCCATTAGTTGATTTGTGAATTTAAGTATTAATAAACTTAAATGAATGTAACTCTAGAGTTGTCAATTAGGATTGAGTCTGTTGAGCTAGTCCTTTTAAACTCAAAAATATTAAAAGCTAAGCCACTACTTTGGAGTATAAATTAATAATTTGAAGCCCAAAAATAAAAAGACTGCCCCTTTAGGGCTAGTGCCAGCCCCTTTAAGCCTTTTTATATATTTTTTTAAAATTTTAATATGAAAAAAATTAAATATTACATATAGTTATACACTATAAGAAAACTCTAGTCTCATTTAGTCATTCTTATTCCTTCTCCCTTATCCATCAATTAGCCAACTAACCAAGCACACAGCCAGCCACCCTCCTTTCCTCCATCCATCATCCATCAAGACCTAATTAATGATTCTAGCAAAGCCTTATTGTTATCAGGGTTGATTTTGTGATGTTGCTATTTTTTTATTAGACTTAAACTTGACGTTGAGTGGATTAACTTAAAGTTATTTTTCTACACTTAATGTTTTGCATAATAATTTTTTTAAAATTTTAAATATGTTTTTTTATATTTTTAAATTGAAAAATTGAAAAAAATAGAGCCGTGACCTTCAAGGCTAGCCCTTCAACTTTGAGGATCAGGGCTAAGTTGTGTAAAATGAAACTTTGAAGTGTAATAGGGCTTAAAAGGGCCAATTTATTTAAGCCCTTACCCTCCAAGGGCAGGCCCTTTTGGGCTAAATCAACCCAAATTGACAGTGCAGTGTTATCAAAACTTAGACTGGACTGGCCGGTTCAACCGGTCGGATTGAGAACTGGCTATGTGTTTGGTCCGAAACACTATTTGAATTGGTCAAAATGCGGATCAAGACAAAATCGGCAAGATTGACTATAAATCGGGAGAAATTGGCAAAACTGACAAGTTAGCTAGTTCTATCAGGCAGTGAAAATGACAAAAAATACAGACCTTCCATGCCAAAAAAAAAATCAAAAACTTTGTGCTATATAACTCATATATGTGTGTGTGTGTGTGTGGTTATTTCTATTTGTGCTTGGGTTTAAATATATGTATGTATGTATGTATGTATGTATGTATATGGTTATTTTTATTTGTGCTTGGGTTTAAATATTTATCTTACTTACTTAAATATTTAGATTAGAGTTTTGCAAGCGTGTGATGAGTCCTTCCCACTTCACCTAATTGCTATATATTGATAACATAAGTAGAATATATGTTGAAGGAAAATTGTACTTTTAATTTTTTATGATTTCTTTAAATTTTAATTTAAAATTTATAATCAAATATCAAAATGTTTGATATGAAACAAAAAAAAAAAATTTAAGGTGCATGTTCTAATTTGATTTGAACACATGCAGGAGTGTGTGTATATATATATATATATAGTATAAAATTACCCAAGTTTTTTTTTTAAATTGACAATTGGTGTAATTTAGCTCAAGGTATGGTTGGATATTAAATGTGGGCATCTCTTCTAATGAGAATTGAAACATTATACAAGTACTATGTTTTATTTAAAAAAAAAACATACAAATCCTTCCACTGTTGTCTTTGATTTATTTCCGAATTATATTGTGAGCATGAATTAATTTAATTACTGAAAAATGAAACTAAACAGTTTAATGAATGACTGAACTATGTATTTTATTTGCACTTTTTATCATTATCACTATTTTTTTGGTCCGCTTGAATTGAATACATACCTGAAGAACACTACTGTTATTGATAGACTCAAAATCCTCTTTAATATAGAGGAGGGCCTCTGGTATAAAACCTGAAATATTGAACGAAGTTAACTTTCATGTTAATTTCGTCAAAATAATATATCAATATATTATATATCACTTAATATTTATAAGTTATAAACATTGTGACCAATCTCATAAATAAAAAAAATGAATCTAACTATTTAATATAATACTCCCTTTATCTCAAATTATAAAAGGACTTTAGACAAAATCTCACTTAACAATAAACCTCATTAAATATACTTAATAATATTATTTTTTTACAAAAAATAAATTTACAAATATGTGCTTTATTTAATATATTGAAAAGATAAAGGGATGTAAATTGAATAGAGAGAGAAAGAATAATATTAAAATAAGCTTATATACTAAAACCTTAATTTTTCTAAAGTATTTTCAATTTTGGGATATTGAACCTTTATTAAAAGTGTCTTATAATTTGGAATGAATGAAATAATAAAAGAAAGCTATTGTTTTGGTTAAAACTATGATGACGCCTATTCAAAAGGACATAACGGGTAAAGCGACAAATAGGTCATGTGAATGAAGCTTCAGGCCCAGCAAGATATCTAATAATGATAAGACCGGTTAACATCATGATGAAATGACTTAATTATGTTAGCTCGGGTCTTTGAATCCCTTAAGACTTGGAACCACTATATAGATTGTTGCCTCACACGAGATATTGATCCCAACAAGCCTCGAATCTCATAAGATTGTCACCCTCATCAGTGAATATTTCAGGGACATGAGCTAGTAGCTATAAACAACTAATGATGTCCTGTGCACGTTGTAAATAAGAAGAACTAAGGTTAAAGACATAATGAGCCTAAGAACATAACTCGGTCTACTACGGGAAAGAAGAACGTGCCACGCACGAGCTGAACTTAATCCTTAAGACTCAAGATATATAGATGTATGAGACCGTCAAGGGAATATGGTGTATCATACCATGAATCTCATGGGCCATGCTATTAAATCCCTATTATTTCATGAATGACCTCTAGATTTGTGGGGGCAACTATCTCAGCTAGATCATTATAAAAGGAAAAGAAGGTCACAGAGAGAAGGCTAGAACAAACAATCAATCATTGACACCCATTAATACTTTCAGCATTTTTTCTCTACATTTCCAGATAGTTCTTATAATCATTTTTAACTTTGTAACCATTACGATCTTGTATGTTGCACAGTTATATTAATCAAGCACTTATTATTCCAACTTCTTCACATCTGAGTAAATTGTGGCAAAGGAGTCTAGGAATCTTTTGTTAATTTTTTAAGACTTAGGGACTCTGGCATATCTCGTAGTTTCCAGGAGAGCAGCTATTTACCGATATCATAGCCATAGAGAAGGCCACTAATGGCTACGGTGAAGGTAAGTCCCACGAGATAAGGTTTTTGTGAAATGGTCATTCTCATTTCAGGATGCTCTCTAAATATTCGGAGCTTCCAGCATTCATTGTCATTATCATTTCGCTCACCATTGTCGTTTACCAAAAACGCTTCACAAAATACCATGACTTGTTTGTTGGTAAGAGAAGAGGTAGTTAGAGAGTTCAATATTTAGAGATGCTTGATCATCTCTTCTCTAAAATGATGATAAAAGCTATGGAAGAAAAGAAGTGAGAAACTTGAAAGTTGAAATCAAATTGGTGAGATATCAAACATGAAAGGACAAAATATTTATAAACTTTGAATTAGCCAAGCTAAGAAAAATTTTGGAAGTTTCTTTTAAAAGATATTATGTAGTGTGCGGCTGTGATGCGTAAGGACTATGGAGACTGTTACTGTTCCTACCTGAATTGGTTTGGCACGAAATATATTACTTTCTCCTTCCTAAATTATAGAATATTTTTAAAGAGTTTCTTCATCCTAAAATATAAAAAATTTTAAATAAATTAAGGTTTCATTAAATACATCAATTCTAATATTACTCTTTTTCTCTCTAATTAATTTCTATTTTTTTCAATATATTAAATGATGGGTATTTTTGAAAATCTATATTTTTGTTTTGAAAAGAGAAGGTTGTTAAGTGTATTTAATGAGGTTTATTGATATGACAGATTTTATCTAAAGGTGTCTTATAATTTTGGATGGAGGGAGTATATATTTAATACTCCCTCCATCTTAAATTATAAGATATTTTTAAATAAAATTTACTAATATAAATTCTATCCTTAACAACATTATTTTTTTAAACAAAAATATAAAATTTTAAAAATATCCATAATTTAATATATTGAAAAGAGAAGGAACATAAATTAATTATAAAGAAAGAAAGGGTAATATTAAAATTTATACATTTAATGAAACATTAATCTATCAAAGTGTCTTGTATTTTGAAATGAAGAAACTTTTTAAAAATACTTTATAATTTGGAATAAAGGGAGTATTATATTTATATATGTATTGTCTAATTAATTAATTGCAAGTGGATAGTAGTTTCAACTCTTTTTTTTCCTCTCATTTTACAGTTCATTTCCTCCAGAGAAGGTATGGGTAGAAAAATAGTCCAACTCAATAACAAGACTTTTTTCAAAAAAATAAAATATTAATTACTAGCATTTTAAATTAACACGCCCACACCAAGTTAATTAAATGAAAAAACAGAAATACACACAGAGAGAGAGAGAGAGAGAGAGAGAGAGAGAGAGAGAGAGAGAGTGTGTGTGTGTGTGTGTGTGAGTTTCATTATCCCCTTGTTTGGTTTGGGGGGGGGGAGAGGAGGGATCTTGCTTCCCTTCCCTTGTTTAGATATTGAAAATGGAGGGGAGGTCCAAACCCTTCCCTCCAAAATGGGGGGCTATAGAGGGAAGGGATATAATTTACCCATGTTATATTTTGATAACCCAAAAATTCCCTCTTCAAATAAAACTCATTTTCCTTACATTCTGATGATTCTTGGAGGCTTGGATGGTATCGCTGCTTTTGTGGTAGTCCCAATCGTGACTTGCAATCCTTTATAACTGTGACTTGCAGTCGTTGCTATCATGAAAATTACCACTACCTCCACTATAGCTGCTGCTATCTTGGTCACTATTTTCTATCAGGTTTCGCCACTCCCGTTGTTTTATTTTGTCACCCCCTTCTGTTCTGTTTGTGGTTAGAAGAAAAATTTGTCTGCTCTTGCTTCTCTTGCTTCCTTTGTTCCATTTTGTCACCTCCATCAGTGGTTAACCTATTAAGTTATTTTCTTTTTTTTTTAATGAAATTTTGTATGATGGTGAAGAGTCTTGACGCACCAACGTGAGTGAGGACTGCCTTTCTTATTAGCTATTTCTCTCTCGTTCTTCCCACACACTGGATTCAACCTTGTTTTATTGCATTCTGTTGAGTTTTTTTTATTCCACAATATTTTTATATGATTGGTTGACTGACATGGTGAAAAAGCCAGACCTAACATTTTAAATGCTCTACTTGCTTTCATTATGTAGTTCATTTGATCATGAAGTGATGCATTGAGGTTAGATATGAAGAACTTGACTAATTTCATGAAAAGATGCTTATGCTCAAATTCAGCAAAATGGATATATGTAGATGAATTATTATTTAATCAGCTATACAAAGATGCTCTTTTATAAGGAAGAAACTCACCCTTGATAAGTCTCGTACATTAACAATAAAAAAGCCTCATAACTAAATAAATAAAATTGAATCATATGATGATGATGATGATGATGATGATGATGATGATGATAAAAGCTTTTCTCGAGAAGTTGACGCTATGAAGGATGATCATAATGCTTATGTGCAACAAATTACATGTTAAGGATCATGATCAGTTGCTCTGTGTTTAGTTAATTATTATGTCTTTTTTTATGTTTTCTTTCTAGATTGATCTGATTAGAAACAATGATTCTAAAATTTAATAACTTATATTATTGTGATCATCCTAATCCTGTTTTAATTTAGTTATCCTTATACTATGAAGTTTTTTTATGCAAAGTTAGGGCATACCCAGCTCCTGACTGATTTGGGGATCTCATTTTGCTTTGCCTATTCAATGAAATTTGTAGAATGGCTCCAAGAAAGATGTCAGAAACAAACACTACCATTAATGGACAGAACTTGTCTTGGAGTAGTAATATGGATGAACATTTGATTGATTGTTTTCTTTATGAGCATAACCATGGAGGCAAAGTGAATGGGACATTTACTACTAATGCTTATGACAATATTGTGAAAGAAATGGTTGCTTTATTTGGGAACAAAATTGACAAGGAGAAAGTTAAAAATCATTGGAAGACATTGAAAAAAAACTTCTTAGAAGTTTTTGACATCTTCAAGAATGGCATGAGTGGCTTTGCTTGGAATTCAAATACTTATTAAGGGGATGCAGAACCCTAAGCATGGGATAATTTGATTGAGGTGAGATTGCTTTATATTTGTGTTTTACTTGCTTTGATTATTGTTATTGTTGTTGTTGAATGCTTGTTTTTACTAATAACTTGCTTTTTTTTAGGTTAAACCAAAAGCAGCACATTGGAGAGATACACCTCTCCCTAATTATCAAAAGATGGTTACACTTTATGGATGTGATAGAGCTTCTAGAAAAGGATCCTTAACTACCTCTGACATGAGGAAATGGTCACATACATCAATCCAACCAGAGATAAGGGCAGAAACTATTGATAAGTTTGACAACATTTTATCTGAAAATGATGTCACTTTGGAGAACTTCCTCATTGAGGATCATTCCCCTGAAGTAAACAGTGCAAATAACAATAAGAGCAAACAAGGATTAACACTCAAAGAGAAAGAACTTGAACATTTTGCTAGAATTGAAGGAGCCATGCTTGAGGTTGCAAATGCAATTAAAGAAGGAAATGCTATCATTAAAGAGAAATATTTCCTACCAATTTCAGGAGAAAAAGCTTTGAAGATGATTGAAGAAAGTGGGTGTGACATTAACAAGATTTCTGATATATATTGCTTCCTCATGAATGATCTTACCAAGCTTAGAGTTGTTATTGTTTGCCCACTAAGAGCACGCAAGCAAATCATTATGAAGATGTTCTTTGGTTTTTAGATTAGCATGGGGTTTCATGTTTAAATTATTATTTTGTTGATATATTGTTGCATGATCCATGATTTAGTCCTTCTATAAGTAGGGTGTCTTTTTTTGATCATGACATTTGTTTATGTCATGAATTTGATATTTTGTTAATATTTTGTTGTATGCTCTTTGATTGAGCAATGCATTCCCTACTTTTTGTGGACTAAATATCATTATGGTAGATCATGCCATTAATATATATAGCTAATGCATATAATTAATTACAAGTTCTAGTTGGTCCCATTTTATTATTTATATTCAATGCATATGGTTACAGCTTCTAATTGATTATCATATATATTTTTGAACATTTAAATAATATATATTAACTATATAATAATAATAATTATATTTATATATCATGATTATAATTTATATATTTATAACATTTAAATAATATATATTTATATATTATGATTATAATTTAGCTCACATTCTATTTTTAGTCTTATCTTTTTAAAATTCACATTTATATTTTATTTAATATTTAAAAAAAGTAAGGGAAAAACAATTTTAATAAAATAAGGGTATAATTGTCTATATGTAATTATTTTCCCTTCCCTCCCTTCCTGAACTAAACAAGATCCCTCCCCTCTATTAAAATCCCTCCCCTTCCCTCCCTTCAAACAAACAAAGTGCAAAGGAGCTTAGAAGCAAGATAAATTTATGAAATGGCCAATGAATTTTGAAATTACTTTGCAATACTTAGGGGCTGAAATAAAATTAACTTTTGAAGCAAGATTACCTAGTTCTCATGATTGATTTATATGTGTCGTGTGCATGCGTAGACAGTGAGAGCCTCTTTTTGTTAAGAAAGAGACCTCAAGTTCATTGTGTTGAACTTGAATCTAGGTAATTGTGTTTCAATTTACACTATTTACATGGCTTTGTTGGTTGGCAATTCTATGTTTCAAATATATGTACTCTCTCTGTTTCAAATTATAAGACACTTTTAGACAAAATCTCACATATCAATAAGCCTCATTAAATACACTTAACAATCTTATCTTTTCAAAATAAAAATATAAACTTCTAAAAATACCCATCATTTAATATATCAAAAAGAGAAAGGACAGAAATTAATTGTAGAGAGAGAAAGGGTAATATTGAAATTGGTGCATTTAATGAAATCTTAATCTACTCAGTGTTTTATATTTTGGGATGAAGAAATGCCTTCAAAAGTGCCCTATAATTTAGGATGGAGGGAGTACTTAATAAACTTGGATGAATATGCTAGTAGACCTTTAAACGTTTTCTAAAATCAATCTAGTGGATAATAGTTTTAATTGGAAAAGGAAATACTATGACATTAGTAGGGAGGGTTTCTCTCCTTTACTTTCTTTATCCATTACCTTTTCACTGCAAATTTGAATCATTCAAATTAAATCTATATTTTTAAAAAATTGTCAAATTAAAATTTTCAAATCTAATTTAATGGTCCAAATTTACAGTGGTCTCTCCTCTTCTCTCCTTTGTAGAGGAGAAAATCTAACTTTGACTGTAGCATGTGATTGTTCTTAGTTAAATTAAATTGAAATTGTCATTTTTGTAAGGGAAAACACAATGTTTAGTCTCTATAGTTTGATGGAGTTTTGCTTTTAGTTCCTATACTTTCTTTCTATTGTTATCAGTCCCTATAGTTTTTGTAGTCCATAATGTTAGTCCCTCTCATCATTAACGGTGTTAAATTTATTGAGCTATTATTAACACTATTAAAACTTATGGTGAGTCAGCATGTGTTGTCCATTTAAGTTGTCTACTTGGCACATGAGTGAGTTCAATCAGCATATGATTTAAAAAAGGAAAAGAACATAAAATAAAGGGAAGTTGGAATAAAAATCAGAACTGGAGTGAGACCATTCATGATTAGGGCTCTCTACTTATAGACCCTTACAGTCGAGAAGTTGAGTTAGATGCTAGAGATGTCATCGAACGTGAGACAATATCATCGGATCCTAATCAATAATGGAGGTATGTGTTGCTACCTTTTCTATTTGTGAAGAGCCCTTTTTTTCCACATTTCTCTTGGCATCTCTGTTTGCATTGTCGTTCACATTTTCTCAATCATCAATAGATACTCTATTTTATATAGGTGCTGTTTGAAATTCATTCCTATAGTTTATGTTCGCATTCTCCCATCTCCCATTTCTTTTTGCATACTGTGTTTTTGGTGCATTTCATTTCTATTTCATTTCATTTGATCTTTTTGAGTTATTGTTGTCAATTTTTTTTCACCATTGCTATGTTTTTATGATTGGTAATTTTTTTGTCTCTATTTTTAGGAATGTCTTGCTTGTTTGAGTTTAAATATTGAGGTTTCATAATTTGTTGTATGGTGCAGTATGGATATGGAGAATGAGATTAGTAACAAAAATGAAGGGGATAATCTTAGTGAAAGTAGTGCAGAGGATTCTTTATCAGAGTGAGAGAATAGTGATGAAGAACATATTAGTGATGATTATTTTCATCAATATGTTGATGTTGGTATATCTAACATCTTAGATGAAGTTGTAGGTAGTTCACAATTGATGATAGCACAGCCTAATCAATCCTCAGATGAGAGAAATGCACTTGAGGTTACAGAGGAGGAGATACTAGCTTTGTTATTTGATTATGCATTTGAGGAACTTCATAAAGATAGTGAATGTAGTGATAATGAGGATGGGAAGGCAGCTGAATGTAGGTATGAAAAATACAATTCCTCTGAGATGTGTAAAGAATTTTAGTTTAAGTTAGGCATGGAGTTTAATTTTATTAGTCAATTTAGGGATGCAATGAGAGAATATGCCTTATTTAATGGATATGAATTGGCATTTATCAAAAATGATAAGGTGAGGTGTAGAGTTAAGTGTGCCTTGAGGAATATAAATGGGTAATCTTTGCAAGTAAAGTTAGGCATGAATTAACATATCGTTTGAAGACTTTTAGGTTTAAACATACTTGTAGGGTGTCAATTATTGGGAAGATGGCTACTTATCATTCGATTTTGAAAAGATAGTTGGCTTGTTGAGAACAAACAAAAGTATGAAATTGAATGATATTATTGCATCACTTAGGGACCATTATATAGTTGATGTGTCGGTTTGGAAGGCATACAAGGCAAGGAAATAGGCGAAGGCAATAATTGACGGTGATTACAAAGAACAGTACTAAAAGTTGAAGGACTATTGTAATGAAGTAAAAAGTATAACTTAGAGACAACTTTTTGTCTATTGACTGATAAACTATATATGGAAGGCCTACTTGCGTTTAGGAGAATATGTGAGTGCCTAGGTGTTGTGAAATAGGGATTTCTAGTAGGCTACAGGCTTATAATTGGGTTGGATGTGTGCTTTTTGAAAGGTCCATATGGAAGGATATTGCTTATAGTTGTTGCATGTGATCCTAATGACCAATACTTTCCATTAACTTAGGCTATGGCTTAGGGAGAGAACAAAGACTCATGGAGGTGGTTTTGCTAAACCTATTAGATGACATTAGAAGCATCTAAGAGAAAATATGGGTGTTCATCTCTGACTAGCAAAAGGTATCTTATTTTTTCATTGATATATTAATCTAATGTTATATTTGTATGAATTTTTTTGTTAAAGAACTAATGATTTGTACTCTAATTTTTTTGGAAGGGTCTAATTCAAACATTCAAAGAGTTACATGAAGGTGCTAAGCACCTATGTGAGGCATTTCTATGAAAATATCAAAGAAAATATAGAGGAGGTACTATAGTTTGTGATTTAGTCCTCTGTGCTACAAAAGCCACTTATGAGGCTAAATGGGAAGAGCGAATGAAGGACTTGAAGAATGTGTTGAAAGAAGCCTATGACCATTTTATGGGATTTCCTCTAAGTTACTGGACCAAATCTCATTTTGGAGAGTGTTGTAAATGTGATATGGTCACTAACATCTCATAATCATTCAATGGGAAATTGTTAGAGGCTAGAGAGTTTCCTATTGTGACATTTCTTGGTTGAACTTATCTCATGGCAAGGTTTGGTAAAAATTAGGTGAAGGCTGAGAAGTATCATGACAAGGGAGCGATGTGTCCACGACCTCGCAAAAGGTTGGGCAAAAAAGTGCAAGAATCGAGGATGTGATTGGTTAGATATGTAGGTCAAAATTGATATGAGGTTTCATATCTCACACATAAGTTCAAAGTCAATGTCTTTGCCAAAAGATGTAGTTGCAATTAAATGGTATTCCATATAGGTATATCTCATGTTTTGTTTTGTTCTGTTGCACATTTATTTTTCTACATAGTGAAATGATCTATGTCTATCACTTTGTTATTAGTTAGCTGTTGTTGGAACTTATTGTTTTCACTACTGTGCATCCTTTAACATTGTTGTGTGTGAAATCAATTAGGTGTCTTACTGCTGTGTGTCTCTTAACTTGGTCTCTTAAATAATTCTTTACAGACATGTAATTGCTTGTATATACAAAAAGAGGGAGGATCCACACTAATATGTTGATAATTACTTGAATTTTCTAGCATTTATAGCTTGTTATACCCTTGTAATTGAGCCTATTAATAGGGACAAAATGTGGGATAAAATTGATGGTGAACCCATTAATCCTCCAATATACCACAAGTGTCCTGGTAGCCCTTAAAAGAAGCATAAAAAAGGAGTAGATGAGGACACAACAAAGGTAAGGAGAGAAAATACAAGTCTTAGATGTTCTGGTTGTGGAATGCATGCACACAATTGATGAACTTGCAAGGAATCATCAACAAGCAATCCTAATGGTAATGGGAAGAATCAAGAGCTAACAAGCAATCCAGGTGGTAGAAAGAAGCAAGAGAAAACAAGCAATGCTAGTAGTAGTATAAAGAAGGATCAAGCTGCTCAAAAGACAAGGCTTATCCACATAGGAGTCCATTAATGCAACACTTTTAGGGAGCAATCAACCTTGATTTAAAATATTTGACTTTATTCTTGTTTTTGGTATATGGGTGGCTTTTTTGTTGAATGGAATGGGTTTTTTGTATATGGGATTATCATTTGGGCAACATGTATAAGGGTTGCTATTTTGTAAATGGGATGAC